AGTGACAACGGTTGAATAATTTGCTCAGGTGTCAGCTACCTGGAGATTCCCCTCCCCCCCAAGACTGAAGAACACAGGCTTTGGAGCCAGACAGCTGTAGGTTTGAATCCTAGTTTGGGCCACTTAGCTAGTCATGTGACCTCAGTAACTTATTCTTTCTGAGCTTCAGTTTCTTTGGTAATAACATAACTAATAACATTTCTCTCCTAGGACGGGTGTGAGGATTAATGGAGATACATATGTAAAGTTCTTGGCATACGGTAGGCGTTCCGTACATGTTAGCTCCTTTCCCCGAGGAGGGTTGTTTTTTTCTCTTCTTGCTTCTCATTTTCTCTGATGGTTGACCCTTCTGACCAGTTTGCTGTTCAACAGTTGTTCCTTAAGAGGACAAGCCGCTGAAGGAGGGGGCTGGCGTTATCTGTGGAATGAACCAGCCCATGCTCCCTCGCCCCACCCCCTCCCAGGAAGAGCCTGTTGCTAAGGAGACATAACGTCAGCCCTGACAGAATGTGGCTGGGGCCTGGCCCCCACCGAAGGAGAGAGACGATGGCTGACCGTGGGGAAGTTTGCCTCCTGGGCTGAGTGTGTAGGTGGAAGTATCATTCTGGAAGCTGCTGGAAAAACCCAGCTGGCTCCCTGAGAAAATAGTGTTCATCCTGCTGTCTCCATGCAGCTCTGGGGAGGTAACCAACAACCTGTTTGGAGGCTGGAGTGCAGTTCCCGCTTGGGCGGCAGTCCAGTGGTGCTGGTAGGGTGTGATGCCCAGACCCTGGGAGGGGCCATAGCAGCCAGAGTGACACATAATCAAACTCCTGGCCCTCAGAATGGCACCTCCCCAGAGCAGGGCTGGCAACTGAGTAGATGCTCGAAGAGGCCCTGCGGGCGACTCACAGTTCTGTGTCCCGGAGGGCTGCAAGCTGGCCTGGTGAGGGGACCCAACACAGGCACTGCCATCTCTTCTTGTAGCTCGAACGAGACTGAGAGGAGATGGTCTCAGATCCCAGGTCCTCCAGGGCCCCCATTCCTTCCTTCGCAACCCGTCCCTTGACCCTGGGCAGCATGGGAGGGTGTGGCTTTTGCCTACCCAGTTAGCCACCCCAAATGGAGAAGGAAGAAGCAGAGGTTAGAGCACAGGCTGGGCTGGACTCCCCTGACAGAGTCCCGCCACTGTCTTCCCAGCCCCGTAACTCTGTAAAGCCGCGACAATTAGAGCACTTGCCTCTTGGGACTGTTGTGAGGATGAAACGACTTGATTCTTGTAGAGAGTTTACATCCGACGCACACACTCGGGCTCACCAAACATGAGCTATTATCATCCTGTTACAGGGTACATTCCTGGGAAGAACAGTATTCTTGGGCAGAATAAAAATGGGATTATTTTTATTATTTGGCTTTTCTTGAGAACATGGGCAGTTCTGGCAATGCTGGCCCGGCTTCCTCCTCTGCTGCAGCGAGTCCTGGCTGCCCCCTTCAGACGGGCCCAGCTCCTGCACTTGGGCCCGTTCCATTGTTGGTCAGCCCCAAAGACATTTACTGTTTGTTAAAAACTCAGATCCAGCATAAGCCAATAAAGATGTCAGGAGTGGGGCTAGGGGACAAAGAAAAGACTGCATTGTCTGTGTTTAAAAGGGGAAGGCAAGAGTTTGGGCCCCCATGGGCCTCAGAGGAGGGGTGTTAGAAGAAAGAGGGGGTGGGACTCCTGAGCCTGTTAGCTTGGGTGCCATTCTGAACCCACCGTCTGTGACTAGTTCAGTACAGAACAGAACGGGTCCCGGACGGAGGCACTGGGCTCAGGATGTCTGGATTCCTGGCCCACTGGAGGAGGCCCTGTTATTTCAGAGCAGGTAATACTGGGTTGGTTCACTGCGCACCTGTCCTCTGTATCATGGGGTAGGGTGGGGAGCATGGTGCTTATCATACAGGAGGTTCTCAATGCTTGTGAAATAAATATATGAATGAATGCAGAGAGCTTGCTTTCTGTTATAGTAACACCCAAATTTAGCTAGATGTTTTAGAAAGTCCCTCTGAGTCCTATTCCTATCCCATGCACTGGGCTCTGGCTGGAGGGAGGCAGTGTGGGGACAGGGACAGCAACCATGGCACCTTTACTTACCACACTGTGCCCAGTGCCGGGCTCAGTACCTGGCACACAGTAGGTGCTCTGCCAACATTTGTTGAATGAATGAACCAATCTAATGAAAAACCTTCTTATTCTGGATTTGCAACATTGTAGCTGTGCTCTTAACAGCTGGCAGGATTTTGAACTTCCCTTAGTAACTCATCTGGCCCCAGCGACCAAGTAGGATGAAACAAGACAAATATGCTCTCTTACAAGAAACTCAAAGTGCGGGGATTCGTGGTTACTGCCTATACGCCGTCCTCTGAAGTTTGTTCTCACCCTGAGTCTCCTGATGTCCTTGGCAGGCTGCCTCACTTGCTGTCCTGTCTCTTATTTCTTGTGTTGTGTGTGCAGCCAGTCAATGGACACTGTTATCTTGTCATTTACCATTACATTTGGAGCCATCACCTCTGTGGGTTTGGGTTTTACTTATCTTACTATCTTAGATCCACTTGTTTGTTTCTAAAAAGGCAGCATCTTCCAGAATGACTAGGGAATAGTCTGAACAGTGACAGTGCTGTCTGTCACCCACCCTGACAAGACGGTGTGGCGGAGAGCCTCTGGTCTGGGCTAGGAACCAGCTGGCTGTGACCTTGGGCAGATCACTTCATCTCTCTGAGCCTCAGCCCTGGGGCTCTTTGAGAGCTTTAATTCTATGTCAACACGCAGGGGTGGGCTTCCCAGAAGCGGAGTGATTTTTAAGTTGGTGTATGCGTTTTTGTGAAATTGTAGCTGTTTTTATTTGAAAACGTTTCATTTAAGTTCCTGTTCTGAGTGTAAAAATAGCACTAGTTACAATTCATGTTTTGTGATTTGTTGGAAGTATTAATATTATAACAGAAAATGGTAGGGTTTTTTTTGTTGTTGTTGTTGTTAAATATGTTTTAAAAAGGCTTGCTGTAGCCTGGCTGGTGTGGCTCAGTGGCTGAGTATTGACCCATGCACCAAAAGATCGCTGGTTCGATTCCCGGTCAGGGCACATGCCCGGGTTGTGGGCCTGATCCCCAGTGGGGGACATGCAGGAGGCGGCCAATCGATGTTCTCTCTCATCAATGTTTTCATCTCTCTCTCTCCCCCTCTCCCTTTCTCTTTCTCTAAAATCAATAAAGGAAAAAAAATAAAAAGGCTTGCTGTATTCTTAAATGTGATTTTTATTACATCTTGGGGTGAGTTTTTTCTCCATGAAGAATAGATCTGTGATTTATAAGGAACCTTCACACCAGGCTGGCCATGGAAGTTTTCCACAACTTCACGTCATTCCCAAAGGGTGTTCCGGCTGCAGGAGCTTCTAATTTCTAAGCACATTGCAGAGGAGACCAGGTTGCAAGGTGCTTTCTCGTCCATGCTTATGTCCAGCCACACATTGAAGTGTCTTAGAGAAAAAAGGGCCCTTGGGGATACACCAGCCAAGTTGTCTTATTTAGATTAGGGAAACTGAGGCCCAGCGTAGTGAAGTGACTTTCCCCAGGTGAACGGCCCGAGCGTTGCCTCCATGTCTAGATCTTCTCATCCACATCCCTCCCCTGGTGCAAACGCGTCACCCAAATGTGATCGTTGGTGCACACACCCACGCCGTTGCTCCTGCCCGGGGGCGCTTTTCCTGTCCCCCGCTTTGCTTTCCCAGCGCCACCTGATGGAAGGCTGCTGCTGACTTGGCATTCTAACCGGTGTCTACTTTGCCCCAGACACATTTTCTTCCCCACCAGCTAGGCACTAATATCCAGCAGAGAGTTTATTGGCATAATTTCTCCAGAAAGAGGCAGGAGGACTTAGCAAATTCAAACTTTAACATTTTCATCAAGGATCCCAAAGGCCCCCCTCCCCCCCTCCCATCGTCACCACCAACCCCCGTCCGGCTTTCTCTGCCATAGGAAGTCAGGGCGCACGGAGCAGAAACAGCACAGGCCAAGTCGGCAGGCACACGACACATCGAATCAACTGAGCAAGCAGCCACCTGAGAGCCATCTTGGTTAAGGGCAACATGAGCTGCTCATGGCATGGGAGGGTACAGAAAAGACAGGACTTTTGATTTTTCTGGAGTGAGGGAGGCTAGCTTGGGGTGGAGGGGAGACTTTCCTTTTCTGTTTTCTCAGAAAACATGCAAAGAAAGGCTTCACAAACAACTAAGGTTACACAAGTATCAATATTCCCAACTTCCCTTTTCAAAGATGGCTGCCCCTGGTGTCCATTCAGAGTGCGCAGCAGAATCTCCTGGGCGTGGAGAGAGACAGGCAGCAGGAGAAATTTAGTTTTCCACAAAAGTTGTTTTTTTTTTTTTTTTTTTCCTTTATTGATGGAATTTAAAATGCATATAACTGAAGGCAAAGTCCAAGGCCTAGAGAAAGATATGAGGCCCGAGAGAGAGGCTCAGAGATTCTAAAGGCGGCTGAAGGATACCCACCTAAAAAGGCCACTTGAGCTGCAAAAAGTATGGAGCAGAGAGATGCAACATGGGAAAAAGAGAAAGGGGGTGGGGGGTGGGGTGGGGTGGGGGGAAAGTGTGTGGGAGGAAGAAGACAAATACCAGTTCAGAAATTCAGACAAAGATATGGAGTAGGAGCTAGCTTACTTCCCAGGTGGGAATAGATGGGCTGGCCTTAAGGTAAGAACGTGGGTTTTAGGAAGTGTGAGAAGGGAGAAATAGAAGAGCTAGGGCCTCTGGCCAGAACACAGCGCCCAGGGCCCTTCAGTTGGTGACAGTAGTGGTGAGGCTTCTCCAAGCCTCTATCATGGTCTTCCTGGAGACTCAACAGGGGTTTAAGGAGACTCCATCCAGCCAGGAGGAGGCAGGGGCTGGGGACCTTGATCTGGGACCTCCCCACAGCTCCCCAGCAGAAAGCAATGGTTTTTTTGCTACTGGACTGTGGCGGGGCTGACTCACCCACACAGGCTGTGCCATCCTCGTTGGGCTCGTAACCCCGACTGCACCTCTTGTTGGTTCGACATCTGTAGCTTCCATATGTGTTGACACACACAGGCTTGTCTCGAGGGCACACGAATGGGAACTGGATGCATTCATTGGTGTCTGAAAGATAAGGAAGTTACTGACTCGGGATGGGTCTTTGCTCAGGTTCAGCTGCCCTACCCACTCTGTGACCTGGGACATGTTCCTTCTCTCTGGCCCTCAATTCCTCGCTTCAGTCCCCTGGCTGGCTCCTCCTGTGCTTGACCTCTACATGTTAGGGTGCGCAGGCTTGGTCCTGGGTCTCCTCTCCTATCTACCGCGCTTCCTCTAGGTGGTCCCTTCATACATGAATGACTCCAGACTTCCTGTCACTGGCCTAACCTCCCCCTGGGGCTCCAGATTTGTGCATCTGTCTAACATGCATCTTAAACACAGTAGGTCTCAAATGGGACGTTAGATGCCCTCCAGTCCTCAAACCTCTTCTGCCCCGTCCCCATATTCCTTCGCTCAGTCAATGCCACCACTGTCCGCTCCGCTGCTCAAGCAGAAACCAGTGTGACCCCCAACTCTTTCCTTATCTCCGTAGGCAATTTAACAACAGATCCCATCAGTTCTGCCCCCAGAGTACCCCTCCCCCCGTCTGTCCACCTGCTTCTCATTCTTCTGCCACCAGCTTATTCCCAGCCAGTACCATCTCTGCCCGGATTTCTGCAGCTGCCTCCTGACTGGATTCCTGGCTGCCGCCCCTCCCTTCGATAGAATCTGCAGTTCAGCAGCCAGAGCCGTCTTTTGAAAATATGACCACATCATGTCGCTCTCCTGCTTAACTGCACAGGGCTCTACGAACAAAGTCCAGACACTTTCCTGGGGCTTCAAGACTCTCCCGGACTCGGCATCTGGCTCCTCCGTCCTCTCCAGGCACACCGGCCTCCTTCCTGTTCCTCCGACGAGCTAAGCCTTTTTCCCGCCCCACGGTCTTGGTCTTCGCTCTTCCTCAGCTACTTCTGTGGCCAGACCCTTCTCCTCTTTCAGGTCTCAGCCCAAAGGTCTTCTTCTCTAGACCCTTCCTGACTGCTCTGTCTAGAACAGTTTCCAGAGAGCACCTTGCTTAATGGGTTCTCAACTCATCTAGTCCAGCTGTTGGGGTGCGTGTTGTGGTCTGTCTGCCCCCCTGGGCCCAGTGCCCTCTGGGAGGTGCTCGGCCTGCATTCCCCGCTCCCTGCGTAGGGCCTGGAGTGTGGGAGACACGTATGTGTTGACTGGATAATGAAGAGGAAGAGGAGGCTGGACTGGTAACCTCACAGGGTCCTTCCAGCACGCAAGGAAAACGCTGGGGTTTCTGTGTATGTGAACTGTCTGGAGAGGCTAGAGAGGGGACACGCAGAGTGGAGGGGACTCATTTCTCCTCAAGCTGCCCCTAGAGTCATGCGCCTCCACTTTCCCACCTGTGGTCATTTGTCCGTGCAGGGCCCTCCACCTGAATACTTTCTCCCCTCTTTGCCTGGCCAGCTTGTCATCACCCCTCAGGCCTCAGCTTAGATCCTCATCTCTCTGGGGCATCTTCTGGAACCCTCCCTCGCCTAGTTCAGGGCCCTACCTTGTGGTCCCCAGCCCTGCTCACACTCTGCGTGCCTCTCCCATGTGAAGGCAAGGACTGTGTCTCAGCAGCAAACCCGTTTGCCTGGGGCTGACGGACGTCTGCAGAGTGAACTTGGGAAGAGCGCTTCCCGAGGGCCGAAAGGCAGGAGAGGTCCTTGACCTGGCCTTCATTGCCAGTCAATGGGATGAAAGATCTTTGTGAGCCTCTAGGCTGCCCTTCTCCCACTCCCAGCTCTTGGGGGACTTTCAGAAGGTCACTGGACCGTCCCAGAGCTGCCACAGCTACCTGACCCCCACCCACCCCCTACTGCACCCAGCTGCAACCTCCTTCTGTACTGAGACCACACTGCACACCCTGGTTTGCTTCAATGCCCCTGGCAATGTCCCTTGCTGCTTCACCTGCTGGCCAGGCTGAAGGCCCAGCTCTCCATGGGGAACTGCGCCTACCCCAGCCCCCCGGCCCCCAGCCCCCAGCCCCCAGCCCCCAGCTGTCAGGCGTCCCTGTGAGCACTGGCCAGGCAGTTGTGCGTCTCATGGCCATGCTCATTGTCTCTGTATTCATGGCAGGGAGGCACTGCCATTCCCAGAACCAGGGTGATTCAGCCTGCTGGTCACTAACATCACTCCCACCTGAGTGAGTCACACCACGGTTGTCTCTGCGTCTGGAGCCCCAGGGACAAACAACATGCTCCCCTCCCCACCTTTCTACTCCTTGTCTGCAACTTGAGCCTTGCCAGGCCTCAAGGTAGCTGTTCCCAGGGAGGTTCTGGCCCCTGCCCCGTCCCCCGGTGCCCGCGGTAACTCACCCTTGCAATGGCCACTTTCCTGCTGGGAGAATCCCTGGCCGCACTGCAGAGGGGGCAGAAGCAGAGACACTCGTGAGCCGAGGAGCTCCCATCTCAGGCCCCCTCCTAGTCACAGCCACAAGCAGCTGCCCCTGACCCCAGGACGAGGGGTGCTCCTAGCTCTGGGCCCAGGGGAGCCCCTCCCTGCCAGGACTCCTCTCCCTTGCACTGAGTCTAGGACGCTGCGGGGAAGGCCAAGAACAGATGCATTCCAGACTCCTGCTCGTTCCTCTCGCGTGGGACCCGTGTGTGAGCTGGGACAGCTAACAGAAACTGGCCCTCCTGTGGTGTCGCCCTGAGACAGAGGCTGGGTCTCCATTGAGGCAAAGTGCGAGGGGGGCGGGAGAAGCTCTCTGAGGTGTCTGCCCTCTCCCACACCCTCTTCTCTGAGACCCCGCCCCGCTCACAGGCCAGTGCAGGCACAGCAGGCTGTCCCGCCTCTGGGCAAGGTGATGGACAAGCCGTGGGCATCCCAGCAGTGGGAGCGAATCAAAGGCGTTGTGGCTAGAATGTGAACCAACTGAGGCTGAGGTAGATTTGAAGACCTGGTCACTCCAGGTTATGGGGGCTTTGCTATGTCTATATGGGGGTCTCAGGGAGAGCAGACTGGTGGCAGGTCAGGGACACTCAAAACAACATTTTATATAAGACAGAAATGTCAACTGTCAGTACTGAGGAATGGGGGGCGGGGGCAGGTGGGGATTATTAGGGAATGGCAATGGCCTCCGCACCCCCAAGCCAGGGCACTAATGACAGAGGTCCCTGAGCTCCCAGAGCTGAGGCCACAGAGTTGCCGGGGTTCCTGCTCATCCCTAGCTTTCCGTTGGACTTTGTGAGCTTCCCTAGAAGTCTGCTTATAAGTCCCCTCTTCTGTGTGACTTTAAGTGGGTTCCTGTCATTTGCAACCAAGTGAGCCCGCTCACAGTTAGAATCTAGAGTTCTTTCTCCAAGAGCTCCCAGAGGCCCTACCCCACCCTCAGAACTAACACTGACGCTTGTCAGAGATTTGGAAAGAGCTAGAAGGGAAGCAGGAGACCTGGGATCAATTCTTAACTCTGTTCACAACTGGCTGTGCAGCCTTGGTGGGTTCCCCTGCTTGGTCTCAGTTTTCCTTCTCTGTAGAATGGGTGCAAAAATACTTGTCCTGCCAGTACTCCCAGACTTCTGTGAGGAGCAGAAGAGATGTGTGCACGGTGCTATTGTGCAAATTATAAATGGTGGGATCATTACGAAGCTGCCCTTTGCTAAGGTTTCATCACCCTGGAGGCAAAGTCTGCAGATTCCTGGGAATAAATCCAGCTCCAGCCCGTGGGTTTGTGGATGGGGCCTCTTCTCTGGCTGCGAGGCCCAGATGGCTCTCTCACCTCCAGCGGGGCCGGGTCCTGAAGTCTGTCCTCGTCCCGGGGGTAGGGGATCTCTAGCACCGAGTTCATCTCCCCGCTGGCCACGTTCTGGCTCGTCATCGTGCCATCTGGCCATGTCACCTCCACGCTGCTGGCTTCATCCTTCCCTGTGGGCAGAAGGAGAGTGGGGGAGGGAGGAGGTTCTCAGAAAAAGCATCATTGTTGGTGGAATAAGACGTATTAACCGAGCACTGTTCTAAGTGCCAGGGGAACCGTGAACATGCAGACGCGTCCTTGCTCCTTCAGAACAACGCTGCCCGATAGGACGTTCTGCAGTGACGGCAATGTTCCCGCTGTGCCGTCCAGCACGGTGGCCACTGGCCACATGAGGCTGTTGAGCACTTGAAGTGGGACCAGTATAATAGGAACTGGATTTTAAATTCTACTTAGTTTTAATTAAGTTACATTTAAATAGCCACACATGGCTAGTGGCTACCATACTGGACAGCGCCGCTCTAGAACTTACGTTTTAGTGGTAGGCCAGGCAGCGTGAGGCTGTTTTGGGGGAGAGGGTAAAGTCTGGTGATAAGCAGGTTGCCTGGGTTGTCCTGGGTTCAGATCTTGATTGTACCACTTACAGGGTAGGTTGGAAAGAACACAGTGGGGGTGGGTATCTGGGAGACCTGGGGACAAACCCCAGCTTTGCAGCTGACTTGTGACTAATCTGGAGCATGTCACATATTAATGTTTCTATTCACATTCACATCCACACTCATATTTATGTTTATATTAATATTTAGAGCCTGCTGGGGCCAGGCTCTTTTGATGTCACTGGGCACGCCCTGGTTTCCAGGGAGCTTCCGTGCCAGTGGGAATAGACAGGCACCCGGATGAACAAATAAATCACGTTGGATATTGACAAGCTCTATGAGGAAAACAAAACAGGGAAACGGAGTGAAGAGGCACTGAGGGTTGGCTGGGGTCTTCTGTGGTCAGGGTGGTTGAGGACAGGCTCTTGGGGAGAAGGCATCTGGGCTGAGCTCTAAGTAAAGGCTGAGGTGACAGAGGCCCAGAAGGTGGCAGGCACGGGGGCAAGACCACGCTATGAGGTGGAAGCCGAGAGGTTTACAAAACAGGTGGAGAAGCTCAGAGGACGTTCCCGGCGACTCCATCGCACACCCCCACAGAGCAACGCATCACATCACTGGCAGAGAACAAGTTGGAGAGATTTGTCAGGTGTTCAGGTGCTGTCAAAACCGGCCCGGCTCCCTGCTTAAGGCACCAGGCCGTGCCTGTGGCAAGGTCAAGCTAATGGTGATGGATTGGGTGGGCGGGACAGGACGCTGGGCCTCCCTGCAGAGGGACGCTGTCCTCCTGGGGAGAGAGCGCCGAGCAGGCAGGGAGCGGGTGCAGCCCTGACCAGGGGTGGGCAGGTGCTCAGGGGTCCACATGCACAGTGGGCTGAATAAATCTGTGGGCGGAATAAATGCCATGTCACCCACAAGGATGTGCTCCTCTCCCCTCACTGTCTACAGACACTGTTGGAAAACAAGTGGAACCGGAAAGTGCTGCTGGATTTATAGCAGCTCTCGGTCCTCCTTGTCCACCATGGATTTTACGGCGATAGACACTATGGGGACGGAGGGTAGTCTGTGAAACATCTTCACGTGTAAGAAGGGTTCCCACACTTAGAGAAGGCTTGGAAGCCATGTCCAGACCTCGGGGGGAAATCCACGTGTGGACTCCCGTGCAGAGGAGGCTCGGGTGGGACCCGCTGACCTTTCTCCTGGGTCCCAGGCTCCCTGGACACTGCAGCCCCACCACTGCTGTGCTGCGGGCTACTGAGGGCAGGGGCCAGCTGCCACACTCTGGAGTGTCTCCGGGGGGCCCCTCCCCTGTGTGCAGGGGCAGCAGTGCCAGGGAGAAGCTCCCTGGGAGCGGGGACTCCCACACGCGGTGCAGCTCCCCCTCCTCCCTCTCGGGCAGCGTCCTGGATCTGGGGTTTGCTGATTCAGCTGGAAAACATCTCTCATAAGCCCTGTACTCCCCACCCCCTTATTCTATAATAATTCCTCTGGGGGAACAGGGTACACATGGGGTTGGGGTGCCAGCTACAGACTCCTGTTTTGAAGTAGTTTCTTGAGGTTCAAGAGACCTGGCATTTATAGGGTGTACAGTGTCCAAATTAAGTAGCATATGTAAAAAGTAAGCATTTTCATGGAAAAAAAAAAAAAGGAGACAGAGAAGTAGCTGTTTGTCCCCTAAGCCAGCAGAACAGCTCCATGAATACATTTCCAGCCTGACTGCCACAAACAGCTCACAAGAGTCGCCGAATATTCATCCAGGGTCACAAATCTACATCCTCGATTTGCCTCCCACGGCTCTGGGTCCTGCTTCCTCCTTCCTCCTTCCTCCAGACCCCACGGCTCTGGGTCCTGCTTCCTCCTTCCTCCAGACCCCACGGCTCTGGGTCCTGCTTCCTCCTTCCTCCAGACCCCACGGCTCTGGGTCCTGCTTCCTCCTTCCTCCAGACCCCACGGCTCTGGGTCCTGCTTCCTCCTTCCTCCTTCCTCCAGACCCCAGGGCTCTGGGTCCTGCTTCCTCCTTCCTCCAGACCCCAGGGCTCTGGGTCCTGCTTCCTCCTTCCTCCAGACCCCACGGCTCTGGGTCCTGCTTCCTCCCTCCTCCAGACCCCATGGCTCTGGGTCCTGCTTCCTCCCTCCTCCAGACCCCACGGCTCTGGGTCCTGCTTCCTCCTTCCTCCAGACCCCACGGCTCTGGGTTCTGCTTCCTCCTTCCTCCAGACCCGGGAGGGCCTGGTTCTGAGCTAGGAAGGCCAGAGAGCACATCTCAGCAGGACTCGCCCCTCTGCGGACGAGTGTTTTGCTGACTTGGGCACTCTCTCGCGGCCTCAGTTTTTCTCTCTGTAAGATGCGGCTGAGACCCGAGCTCTAGTGCTGCTGGGAAGGACAGTTCTTCTTCCCGGGAATGTGAGCCCTGCCCTGGCTGTCACCCTCAGCATCTCCATCCTCATAATCTCTTAGACATGGGGGGCGCCCTGCAGGTCCCAAAGGGCTTTCACTTGTTGGCAGTAGTACAAGAAAATACGCTGTACCCGGTGACTATCGGGTTAGTGCATCCGATCCTCACGGCAGCTCCATGAGGAAGGTACCAGTTTTATAATTTCCATTTTAGAGCTGAGAGAGCGGAGACTTGGAGAGGTGAAGCGAATGGCCCAGTTACCCGGTTAGGGAACATCTGATCCCAAAGCTCATTCCTGCTACACCCTGTTCCACTGGCCAGCCCACCCCACGCCCAGCCCACCACAGCCGAGCATCATACAGGAGTCTGGGATTCAGCAGGACGGAGACGGGCCCCGCCCCACCCTGGAGGAGCTGAGTCCTGGGCCGGCCATGAACACAGTGATTATGTCGTTACGCGCTGGGGAAGTTCAGCTGTAGCATTGGTAGCACTTGGTGAGAGAGGTGGGTGCCAAGAGTCATTTCCGTTGAGCGTTGTAGAAGTGTAAGAGTTTGTGAGGCAGAGAGAGGAGGAAGGAGCCTGCAGGAGGGGGTGCAGGATGGGCGGGCCTGTGTGTTTGACGAGCAGGGAGAAGTTCAAAGTGGGGGAAAGAGCAAGAGAAAGTGTTTTAGGTGGGGTGGGTGGGAGAGGAGCCTGGGGCGGGCTTTGGAGCCTTAGCATGTGTGGCCGACTTGAATCCTCCTCACTACTCTGCCAGGTGGGTGTTTTATCCCCTCTCCAGATGTAGGCAGTGAGACTTGGGGAGGTAAGTGACACGCAGGGGTCTGAGCTAAGACTGGAACACAGGCTCCGGGCGCCGGGCCCAGACTCTCCCTCTGCCCAGACGCGGCGGATCTTCACGCAGCTGACAGGCAGGGTGCTGCCCACGCCCAGGCACCGCACAGGGCAGCCTGGAAGGGGCCTGTCGGTCTGTGAGCAGAGGTGGCCCATTAACCAACCACAGCCCTCTGGCAGCGTTTAAAGGCCAGAGGCCAAGGGAGCACAGAGAATTGTGCTTTTCTGAAGAATTACAAGCAAAACAGATGGTGAGAATACAGTTGGCGGAATATTTTTGCACTTTAATAAAGCAATTTTCATGAATTTGCCTTCGCTAAATGAGCACCAAGCCAGCTTGGAGGCAGCTTTGAGTCACTTGCAAACAGCTAGCTGAAAGGAAGGAGGTGCGTGTGGGGGTGTGGGGGTACCCTCAGTGCTGGGTGGGCTGGCCGAGGGGGGGCCCTGATGGAGGCCAGCGGGGGCTAGTAGGTTATTGGTACTTGTTTTCATTCTCTGGGCTTCACTGAGCTGCCTCAGCCCTCTGCCAGCTAGGAGTGAGGAGCCAGGGTGTGGAGGACGCAGGAGTGGGTGTGCAGGAGCAACGGGGGCAGCGGGCCACTCAGCAAGGGCTGTGAGTGGAAACACTTATTTATGAGCCTGGGGGCCCGTCTGCACCAGGAGGAGCGGGCAAGGCCGGGGCAGGTGGAGAGGGGGGGAGAACAGGCAGGGGCTCCACTGAGCAGGGCGGGGGTGGAGGCAGGACGCCTCCAGAAAGGACAGTTCCGTAGGATGCAGCTGAGAGCGCTCTGCACAGCAGAGTGGGTCCCCTGGGAAGCCCCCGGAGAATGAAACATCCAGTGAGGTCCCTGAATTTTTACTGTGTGCTTCCACACAGCCCAGACCTCTGGATTCGGGAGTACCTGGGAGGGTCTAAGAAGCTGAGTCCTCTAACCACAGCTCAGTGCTGACTGAGCAAAGCCCACAGCTCCTGGGGGGTGGGGGGGCACAGCTCCTGTCAGTGCAGAGAGGAGCCCAGGATGTGACGGGGGCGGGGGGCACCTAGGAGGCTGCTGAGAGGCTCACGTGGACACCCATTCATGGCCACATGCTCACCACACCTGGCTGCAGTCTGGAGGAGGCAGGGGTGATTCATGGGGGGAAGGAGGAAGGAAGCAGGACCAGTGGAGGTGAGCAGGAGTGTGTGAGTGCGGGGAGGGGCGCTTCCCGCAGCCCTCTCCCTTTTGGGACCTCTGCCTCCAGGCATAGCTTCCGGCCCCGCATCGACTTCTCAGTTATTTGGACCTTTAAGGCAGGACTTTCTCGCCTTCATGTTCTGAACATGCCCCTTCTCACCCCAAACACCACAAAACAAACTGCTTAGGATTGGAAAACATCAAACATCCATCAATAGGGGACTTGCAAGATAAATTATGAATGCTGCCACACAATGAAGTATTGTACAGCAAAAATTAAAAATAGAGCAGCCATATGATCCAGAAATTCTATTTCTGGGTATTTAGTTGAAAAAAACAAAAACACTAACTTGAAAGGCATATGCACCCCTGTGTTCACTGTGCATTATTTACAACAGCCAAGAGATGGAAGCAAACTAGATGTCCATCAATAGATAATAAATGAAGATGTAACACACACACACACACACACACACACACACACACACACACTCACACACACAGAGGAATATTATTCAGCAATACAAAGAATGAAATCTTGCCATTTGTGACAACGTGGGTGGACCCAGAGGGTATACTACACAAAGTGAAACGAGTCAGACGGGAACGACACATGCCTGTCCCCCTGCTGGTGGCCCCTGGGCCCCTTCTAAGCACTGCTCTTGCCCCGCAAAGCCTGGCTTGGGCTTTAGGGCTCTGCAGACCCGCCCTGTTCCACTGCCCTCTCAGCCCGGCTCTGGGTGCCCTGGCCTCTCTTTGCAGGCTCGGCTCCCACGACTGTTCCCATCCTGTGGACACCCTGAGCACCCTCACCGCTGGGCCTTTGTTCAAGCCAGCACAGCCCCTGGAATGCTCTCCTCAGCCCCTTATCCACACCTTCCAAACTCCCACCACCCTTCTAGACTTAGTCCGAGGCCCACTTTCATGGGAAAGCTGCCCAGAGCAAAACAAATGTCTTCTCCCTGGCCTCTGGCAGCCTCTGGGCCAGGACAGCACACCTCAGTCTGCTCTGCTCTGGAGAGCCTGTGTCCTCTGCCTCTTTCATCAGACTGAGCCTGGAGGCAGGGAGCATCTCTCCTTTGTCTAATCTGTCTCTAGCCTTGTCTCTTGGTCTCCCCGGGCCTGTCTCAGTCTATCTCCACCCTGATCTCTCTCCTCGATCCTCCCTTCCATCCAGCCTTCCTTACTGGCTCCCTCTCTTCTTGCCCCACCGTTGGCCTCTCCATCAATCAGGAAGGCCTGTGCTGCGTTGGGTCCAAAAAAATCCTCCCGAATGTGGGATCTTGGAGCCACAGGGATGGAGCCTGCATGCCCCTCCCGTACCCCAGGCTGCTGGCCCTGCTGCGTGCTGAGCTGCCTCAGGGAGTCTCGCCGCCAAGCCCAAGGCTGACCCACAGGGCCAGTCTCTCAGAGCAGCCTTCCTGCAGTGTCTCTCTGGGAGTGGATCCTAGCAATAGAGAGGAGTGTGCAGGGGAGCAGTTTGAGCCAGAGTTCAGACCCAGAACAAATCCCATGGCTTGCAAACTGTAAGGACGGGCAGTCAGGAGGGCCTCCCAGCTAGGTGATTGTCCATAATCCTGAGCATGGGAGGCAGACAGTTGTGAAGAGGCACAGAGGCTCTTGGGCCCCCATGATCCCACCAAGTGACCTGCCGAGGCTGCCCAGTTGGAGAGTAGGTCTGTTTTCTTGCAAGGGCAGATACTGGCCAGGGCAGAGAGCCAGCGACACCCATAGTGCACGCCTTAAAGCAGCAGAGGCAGTCCATGTCACGTGGGGAAGGAGAACCAGCCCGTCCTGGCCTCAGCATCCATCTGCTCTGAGTCTCAATTCCCTTTTCTGTACAGGGGGGTGAGGGCTGACGTCCAGCCAGCTACCTGGATGAATATCCCACCTGTGATACCATGGCAGTCACCCTGGTGCTTGGATGACCTCACTTGGGCCACCTGGTAACCGAGGGCATGTGGATCTCCAAGAAGAAAGAGGCCGAGCAGGAGGGCCTCGGCCAGCCCCGCACAGAACAGCGACGGGAGGGCCAAGCCATCAAGTCACAGTGCTTGGGAACTCAGACCGGGGTGTCCAAAAAGTCGGGGCCCAAATCCAGCCCTCCCTACTTTCTGAAGATGTGATTTGGGGCAGGTTGCTTAACCTCAGCCTCAGTTTCCTGACCTGCGAAATGGGGTTTATGACTCATCACGTTGTGGTGAGAAACGAATAAGGTATTTTATGTAAAGCACTCAGCCCAGTGCCCGGCACATATCAAGTGCTCAGTCCGTGCCGGCTGCTGCTGTTTGGCAAGAGAGGACGATGTATTTAAAAGTCATCTTGTTCTTTAAGGAGAGCATAGCAAACGGCTGCCTTGAAAGTGATAAACTCTCGGTTACAGGCAGACTCATCCTGGGTGAAATAGCCCGAGAACATGCTCATATAACCGGGCCTTGGGTCCCCTAAATATTTATGCTTCTTTTTGAGACTACATAAAAATTACGCATTTCCTATAAAAATTGGAAAACACACACACATATAAAAAAACATAGGGAAGAAAATAAAAATCCCGTGCTCAGGTCTGAATTTGAATTCCACCTCTGCCGTTCACCTGTCACGTGATCTTGGCTGAGCAGGTTTCTTAATGGGCTGATCCTCAGTTTTCCCATTTGTAACATGGGGACAGGTAAGGCCCCTGCCACGGGCAGTGAGGACGACAGGCACAGTAAGCGCAAAGTGCCACCGGGCCTACAATGCGTGCGAGTTACCCTATCAGTCCAGCCCCTCAGAGAAGCTCTATGCACACTCTTTGCATTTTCTTTCCATTTTTTTTTTCTATGCACATATGCTGTGTGAATAACATTAACATACACATGTATGTATTAATTTGAGGCCATGTTGCCTATTCCTTTTCTGTTAACCTTGTATCACCTCACGAGGTGCTAACACATGGGGAGCGTGTCTGATTTTGAACCTACGTGTATTTGACTCAAAGGCTTTCGTAACCATTGTGTTTCAGTCAAGACCCCCTGGGATCCTCCCAGCCTCCACCCGGTGCTTCTCAACATTTCCCCCCATCATTGCACCTCCTCCTCAGGAAGCCGTTGTAGATTTTTATTTTCCTAATTCCACCCCTGGATGCATTTCTTGAAACATGCCTTATTCTGAACTAATTATAGAGTCCCAGGAAGTTGCAAAGGCAGTACAGAGAGATCCTGAGTACCTTTCGTCCGGTCCCCCCCCCCCCCCCCCGCCGTGGTTACATCTCCTGTAACTACAGCACAAGGTCAAAGCCAGGAAACGGATGTTGTGACCAGGTGCGTGGATAGTTCTACGTCACTTCATCGCAAGTGCAGCTTCGTGCGACCGCAGCCACAGTCAAGATGCAGAACGGCTCCGTCACCACCGAGACCTCCCTCGGGCTATCCCTGCACACGCACACCCACCCTCTGCTTTCCACCATTTCCACCCCCAGCAACCACTGATCTATGTTCCATCTCTACAGTTTTGTCATTTCAAGAATGTTATATAAATGGAATCAACAGTAGTGACTTTAGGACATCGGCCTCCCCCCCCCACTCACCATAATGCCCTTGAGAGCTATCCAGGTTGCTGTGTGTGTCAACAGTTCATTCCTTTTTATTGCTGAGTAATAGTCCATGGTGTGGGTCGACCCCAGTGTGTCGAACCGTTAAACTACTGAAGGACATCTAGGTTGTTTCCAGTTTGGGCTATTACAGATAAAGCTATTATGAACAATCTTTTATAGATTTTTTTGTGGACATACGTTTTCATTCATCTGGGATAAATGCCCAGGAGTACAATTGCTGGGTCTGACAGTAGTTGTATGTTTAGGTTTTTGTTTTTAACAGAACTGGCAAAGTATTTTCCAGAGTAGCTGCGCCATTGTACATTCCCACCAGCAATGTATGCGACCCCCAGTTCCCGGCATCCTTGCCAGTGTCTGTTGTCACCGGGGTTTGGTGAGACACTAGTCACCAAGCCAACTCTCAGGAGGCCAGGGCAAGAGCTGGGTTGGATGAGTTTGGTGCAGGCCAGTGTTTGAAGACTAAGGCCACAGCCTGCACAAATGGAGAATTAAATACTTTGACCCCAAGGTGAATGATCTGACAGAGGCACCGGGGTGGAGACCCCTGTGAGGGGCGGGGCACGAACCCCTCCTTCCTCAGCTCAGGTCCATCTCAGAGCAGGGTGGCCCCCGACAGCTGGTGTCTGCCGCGCTGTCGCAGTGACGAGGTGCCCGAGGAGGCTCGAGCTGAGTCCTGCCTCACTCAGCCCGATGCGGGTTCAGGTTCAGGACCCCCTGTCCTGGCAGCAGCGCATCCCCACCCTCTCCGCCGGCCCTGACTCACCCAGGCCGAAGTGAGCCACGGGCTCCATCTCGCACAGGTAGCCTGAGCCCCCGTCGATGATCCGCAGGTGGGCCCCGCTCTTCTTGGTGTAGAGCACCACCTTTGCCCCCCTGGCGAAGGCCCCGAACCGGGTCCGTGGCACCACTCGGAGCCAGTTGTTGCTGAAGCCCTGTGAGAGGGAGGAAGGCAGGCTGGCATCAGCGGGGTGGGCGGAGGACCAGGGACCGGGGCAGGAGAGAGGGAGAGGGAGAAAGAGGAAGAGAAGAGAAGGGGCAGAGGGGTTCTCCTGGAAGCAGCCCTTCTGGGAGGTTTACTGTGCTGCTGGGACTTCGTTTGCCTCCTGCAGATGTCCATTTCCCACCGTGAATCCTGGGCTCCTGTTCCCTCCTCATCCACCCTCAGCCCAGGGGACCTCACCAGGCTGGGCTCCGTAGGTCCCCAGGTCCGTGCACACCTGATTCCCCCGGACGACAGACAGCGGCTGAGCCATGGATTCTCCGTGGGACAAGATGAGGTCCAGCATCCCATCTCCATCAAAGTCTGTCACCACACCCCCTGCAACAACACGGACTGTGCTCTGGCCACCGGCCAGGAGACCACAGCCATCCCATGATAGGAATTCATGGCAAAAGGGTTCCCTTCCTGCCCCTGGACTTCTGCATGGGTGTGGCGGGTGCTAATTATTCAGACCATGCGGACTTCTTGCTGGTCTTCGTATTACACATGCCTTTGATATTTGCACCGTGCTTGTCAGTCTGCCTGGTGTTTGCACATACTTGGTCTCCTCTGGCTCTCTCCACACCCAGAGGTGAGAGGGCAGATGTGATGATCTCCATCTCATGGATGTGGAGAACATGACCCAGGTGAAATAACTTTCCCAAGACTGCTCTTTCTTTGACACCTGGCTGAGTGCCAAGAGGGGAGGCGTTGGACTCCAGGACCCCAGCCTCCTTTCCACCCTCGCCTGGCAAGGCAAGGCATGACCAGAGAGGCCACTGCCCACAGATTTGCCAGCAGGCCCCACCCTATCCACCCTGGGACTGGGAGCTGGACCAGCCCCTCCCCTGCTTCCTGCCTGGCACTCTCAGGGCTGGGCTCCTCCTTATCCACTCTCACCCCTGCCCTGGGTCTCAGCCCTCAGAGTGGGAGGGACAGGAGGAGCCCTTAGGTGCCCTCACCTGTGCCCCGGCCCTCAGGCTCCAAGGCATCGCCAGGATTGAGCTCCTCAATGAGGGGGTCACCGTGCTCCCTGCGGATGACCCTGCAGGAGAAGAGACAGGCTGTTCATGGATGAGTAACTAGCTGGTGAGCCCCGGTGGGCACCTGGACCTAGAGACCTACTTGCAGACTCCCTCTCTGTCCCCTGGGCACCGCCAGGCCCCAGGGCATGGGCTGCCGCCTGCACGCCTATGGAGCCCCTCTTCGTTCGCAGACCTGTCTACACCCTGCCTGCTCTCTTCTTGGGTTTTGATTTACGTTGGTAAATATTGATTTTTCCTTCTCTAATGGATGAATTATAGACATTCTGGGGAAGGGCAGTTGATGGATGCAGAAGGGACAAGGACACAGCTACCTTCAAATGACCTTCACTTTCCTTCCAGTGGCCCTGGGTTTCCCAGCTCTGGATGGTACCCCGGGTTCAAACCCCACTCAAATGCCACCTCCCCCAAGTTCTCCCTGATTGCCCCACTGGAGGCTCTGCCTTTCCGCTCTGCCTTTGCCACTCGCCTGGCCTTTAGCACGTGCTGCCCCGTGCCGTAGCTCCGTGTGAATGCGTCTTATCTCCCCAGCTGCGCTGTGAGCTCGGGAGGCTGGGACCACGTACTGTCCACCTGCACCTCCCACAGCACCTGCCACAGGGCCTGGCTCTCGGAGAGCTCCGAGCACACGTCCGTGGGGTGCATGGATGGACTCCAGAGGCAAAGGGAGGAAAGGGGTCCCTTCGCACTGCAGGGGTTCTGTCTGTTTTGAACTCTGAATCACAGTGATATTCGCTCCAGAAAAGCCCACCGTGAAAGCCCTGCCCTTTCTCCACTCGGAGCTGACTGCTGCCAGTGGCTGTGAGCTTCTCCCACGCGTGAGGCTCTCCCAGCCGTGGGCGCTCTGCCCTGGGTGTGTGGAGCAGTGCGGGGCAAACAGAGGGCGGGAGGATCTGCGTCACCCTGCCACGGGACACACACGGCAGGTGACTGCTGTCCGCCCAAATCAGAGTTACAGAGGGCTGATGTGGCCAGTGCTTTCAGGAGGGGGCCGGGGTCCCCTGAGCGGGAGCCTGTGGGGTCAGGATGGCCGAGAGTGAAGGGTGTCCATAGGGGCGGGCAGGCGCCCTGAGAGCTGCCCTCTGTCCACGCGGGGCGTCTGTGCTGAGCACATCCATGTGTGCAGTCTGGGCAGCGGGCAGCGGGCCTGGCTGCACTTGGCTGTGTGCACACACACTGGAGCTGTGCAGGCCTCAGCCTGCTAACACCCACAACCCCTTTGACCCTTGGGGTCCTGCAGACTCTGCCACAGCCGGGCAGAGACACCCTTTGGTTCAGGTGACAAGGCAGTGAAGGGATCCTCAGGATGAAGCCCAGTATTCACTGAGCACGTTCTGCAGCCACTGCTGTGTGCCGGCCCGCGGGCGGACCTGCGGCCAAGGCGCATCCGCGGGGAAGGAGCTCAGGGTCCAGACGATGGAAATCTCATGCAAAGTGCCAAAGGCTGACAGGGAGAGTGGGGCCGAGGGGACGACAGAGCTGGGCAAGCTCATCCACATCGGGGTAACCAGGGCAGGCTTCCTGGAGGAAGGGCTAACTAAGCTGAGACAAGCATCCTGAGTATGTGCCACTCAGACGAAGAGGGAGGAGCGCAGCGGAGGGTGTGGGCAGCAGGAGGGTCTGGGTCTGGCACAGCCCAGAACGGAAAGAAGCTGGGGTGCCCAGTGCTTAGAGGTAACTGGGAAGTGGGGAGCATGAAGGCTGGGTCAGAACTGGTAGGTGTGGGATGTGCCAAAGGGAAGTCTTCTAAAAAGTCTCAAGTGGAAGAGGGGTGTGGCCAGATTTGCACTTTCAGCTGCTGCTCTGCAGGACTAGGCACCGGGAGAAGGCTGGAGGTGGGTGGGCCAGGAATCCCTGGGCAGGGCAGGGTGGCAGAGGGCGCAGGGGCGAGAACAGATCAGAGGCGTGTTTAGATGGGTGAGTGGTGTGACCGTGCATGCCCCAGTTCACTTATTGTCCTGCCATTACTAATAGGGCCCCTTGCTCTCTCACTGAGCACCCCGTTTGGATGATGCATTCCTTGGCCACCCCAGGTGTCGCTGGAGGACTTGCAGACTCAAGCACAGTGAAGCTTTGAGTCTCCAGTGCCTCCTACGAGGAGCCCACCATGGTCCGCTCACCACAGGGACAGGTGGGGGCTAAACTTCTAGAGTTGCCAGCTGTGTGGGGGCCTCAGTTGCATGCTCAAGACCCAGCCATCTGCCACGGGGATTTGGGGCACAGCCATGTACCTGGAAAGTGGCTTCCATTGCTGCTACGTAGAAATAAACACACTAACTCATGGGGCAACTGCATGGGGACACTGTCTAAAGATAGCCCATGCCGGCCAGCCCTCGGGGTGGCCCAGAGGGAGGCTGGGAGGTTTGACAGGGGCCTGGCAGGCGGGCGGTGGATAGAGGAGGTGCCTGGGTTCTTGGGCCAAAGAGATGAGAGCACTAGACTCCTTGGAGACCAGGGGCCCTGGCAAGTGACACTTGATTAGCCAGAGAAGGAAAGCAGTGTCCCTGTTAACGAGTAATTGATCTGCAATTAATCTGGAAGTTGTGAATAAGCTTTTTGCAAGGCACCTAATTAGTAAATCTGGTGCCTTCAGGGGGTGATTACATCCAGTTGAGATTGATGCTTTAATACTTATATTTTAAATACACTTAGTCACAGCTCTCACCTTTTATTAATAGTTGGGACCCTCCTGGAGGAGGGAGTTGGGGACCTTGGGGAAGCCAGCAGGTGATCTGGCCCATTTCCTGAATACAAGGCCCCTGGCCACCCTCTTCCCCTGGTCCTGAGCCCCGTTAGCATGTTTTATAGCAGGAACAGGAGCATCTCAGGCCACATGGGTTCTGAGGTTTGTTCCCCAACAGTGGTTTCAAACTTTATGCCTGATGCCTATTGCACTTGTTCAAAACAGATTCCTGGGCCTAACCTCCTGCGATTCCGAATCAGGAGATGGAGGTAGGACCTGGGATTCTACTTTAAGTAAGCACCCTGGGTGATTCTGATGCCTATGGTCTCTGGACCCCTCTTAGACAAGTGTTGCCTCTGGAAACCCAGTCCTTCCTCCCTGGACACAATGCCCAGATGCTTGCAGATGTCTTCTACTCTGTTACTCCCTTTTACTGGTCTACCATTCATTGTCTCATCCAGCATTTCCCAAAGGATGTCTTGCAGAGCACCGATCCCACGAGAAAAGTCTTTGAAAAAAGTGTCCTGTGGTCAAATCTATTTGGGATATTCTATCCACCTTTTGGAAAGTAAAAATACTTATGGTCATGTAACAGTTAAAGGCTCTGAGAAGTCCTGCAGTCAATAAATCTGCCTCTATTTGCTTGACCCAACTGTATGTAAACAGATTGGACCCTGTAACTGCTTTTCATGGTGGTGGGATTTCTACCCTGTGAAGCTTGGCTTCTGGGCACACTTTGGGCCATATCCCTCTGCCCATTTTCCCCCCACCACCAGGAAGCCCACCTCCTACCCAGAATTCACCCTCCACGCCCGCAGCCTCTTGCTCAATCTCTGTTCCTTCATCAGGGTACCTTCTTCCACCTCAGCCCTGGGAACTCCCCTTCCGAGCCCCACACCTTCCTCCCTGACACTCCGCTGTCAAAGGTGAGTGGGCATGAGCCAACTGGAGCATCTACCGGAAGAGGCGGTTGGCTGAGGAGCTTCGGTGGGCGAAGTTGTTGAAGAAGATCTCTAGCTCCTGATCATTGTCGAAGTCGGCGGCGATGACTGTGCGGACAGGAGAGGGCATGGAGAACTTGGGTGAGGCGATGTCCTGGGAGGAGAGAGGGCTGCAGGTCAGCAGACATGCGGGACAGTGGCGTGGGTGAGAGACGGACTCCCCCACTGTGTGTGTGTGTGTGAGTGTGTGTGTGTGTGTGCGCGCGTGTGCGCACAAAGGTAAGACAGCTTAACCAAACCTCCTCTCTCACCTCCCACATGAGGAACCTGGGAGTCTGTGTTTAGGACCACAGAAGCCTCAGACTGCTTGTTGAACAAGGCGGTAAGAGGAACAGTCCCAATCCATACGAGTGACGCCCTTGGTTTCCTCATTGTGATCACCTGTAGCCTTCCCATCCATCACTTGAGGAAGCACAGACATTAGCATCCCCATTTTTCAGGCGAGTTAACTGAGTCCTGGAGAGGGAGAGGAATTGCCCATACTCATAGCTAATGATAGGGTCATAGCCGGGGCTTCTGATTCCAGACGCTGTGCCCTTTGTACTACGCATCCTTACTCCTCCGCAGTGAGTCAGGCGACGGCTGTGCATTTAAATCCAGGCCTCTCTGCTGACAAGCTGTGTGATCTTAGGCAAGTCACTGAACCCTTGCATCTCACTTTCCTCATCAGTAACACGGGAATAGCAATCGCGGCCCAGGTTGTGAGGACTGCATGTAAAATGCTTGGCACAGAGTGGGCACGAGATAGCTCACTGGCAGTGTGTCCTGGGCTTGCCCCCACTCTCAGCCTTCGGGAAGGTGGCAGAGCCGCCTTTGGCTGTATTTCTGCTGCCTCTGTTACCTTATGTTGTTTCTTGAGAGTCTTTTAATTTTTTAAAAGACATTTGGTTTGAGAAGTGGCGGAGATGCTTGTCCAGGGCTCGGGGAAGGGGGTGGGCAGACTCAGGATAGCCTAGCTGGGACCCTGAAGTCTGGACAGGTCCTGGAAAAGGGTCCCAGGTCTGAAATAGAAGGAGAGCCATGTAGGGTGACCTTCAGACCTTGGGAGCCTGTCTAAATCCCAGGGCCCACGTGGAAAGGGCTGGGAAGGGCACAGTGGCATTTCTGGGAGTGCCCCTCTCCACCCCCCGGCTGGCCCTGCCCCCGGGCCTCATACCGCAGGCCCTGTGCCTGGGCTGCAGAAGCGAGCTGGCCTGGGACAGCTGGCAAGCTGCCTGTCCAGGGAGGCCAAGCAGGGAGGCTGTCCCCATCAGCGCAGTAATGAGGCTGATTAAGAGCCCGGCTAGCTGGCCAGGGAGGGCTGAGCAGGGCCCTAAGAGCTTGGGAACAGAGAGGCCTCAGTGTATCTAACTCGTTCGTATGCTATTGATCCTGTAAAAATGGAAACCTGCATAGCCCCCGTGGGGCTGCCCACTGGACGCCTGGGCTTCCAAGATAATGTATGTAAAGCACTTAGCGCAGTTCCTGGCACATGGAGGCACTTGACAAATGGGTGTCTGTTATTATTATTATTGCTCCTGTGAGCTCTGGGGAGGAGCCATCAGGAGGGTGAGCGGGGTTCATCAGCCTCGGCACACTGCCATTGGGGCTGGGTCACTGTTTGCTGGGGGGCTGTCCTGTGCATGGTAGGACGGTTAGCGTCACCCCTGGCCTCTGCACGCTAGATGTCAGCAGCACCCTCTGTCCCATCATGACAACCAAGAAGACATTGTTCAATGTCTTCGGGTGGGGGCAAAATTGCTGCTGGATGAGAACTTGGGTTAGAACAAAGCTGAATAAAGAAGGAAATCATCCATGATCCCAGGATCAGTGGCTCCAAGTTCAGGCAATACCTCCTCCCACCCAGAGAACCTGGCTCTCAAGCCTTTGCAGGGAGCGCGCAGCTGGGCCTGAGCACCCAGGCGGCTGCCTATGGGGAGGGAGCTGGTGGGCAGCGCCGGACACAGGTTCCTGGAGACTTCCCTGGGACCATCAAACCTCAGGGGAACACTAGAGCTCCCTCTCTCCCTTAGGGGCTTGTGGCAAGATCCGGGTACCTCCAGAGCAATCCTGACTGCCCGAGATCAGCCTCAGCCCTCCACTGCCCTTCTTGAGAAAGCCCCAAGCTTAAGCTCATCAGGCTGGTGGCACCTCCATTACTGTCACCAAACAGCCCCTTTGAAGAGTCCTTGGCATCCCAGTCTATGGACAGCTCAAAGAGGGGGCACAGAGAGGGGTTTGCCCACCCTCTGCCATTTGTCCTTAGGGGCAGCTACTGGATCTGTGGCCTCAACCCCCACACCCCACTGTGCCCTCGGCTGGAACCTCAACTTGCAAAGCTCAGCTGGGGCTACAGATCAGGTTTTCCAATTCCAGAGAATGAAGTGCCCCTCACAGAACCTCCTTTGCTTTGCCCACCTTAGGGGGCTGTTGTCCCTCCTCTGCCGCTGGCTCTCTCTGCTCCGGCCACTAGAGATGTTGCAGTTGCCCAGGCTGGAGTCCACTGCTGTCCCCCAGATGTTACCTTCCTCGTGGCTCTCCACCCCCGCCCCCAGGTTCTGCAGACTCAAGCTCCGTCTCAGCCTAGTGGGAGGCACAGGCAGGACTACACCCCAGGGCAGTGCTGGGTGGCAGGCGGGAGGAAGGGGGGAGGGAGAGGACCCTTCTTACCCGGAAGCGGACCTTCCCGTGGGCACTCATCTGCAGATAGAGGCGGTGGGGCCCGTTCCAGTTGCCATAGACAATGTCCACTTTGCCGTCACGGTTGAAGTCCGCCAGGGCGACACCTCGTCCATGCTGGTGGGGGTCGTCCACACCTGAGGGAAAGGCAGGAGCCCTCAGGACACTGCCCTTCAGGCTCCAGAAACACTCACCTCACAGGGGCTCCATAAGGAGAAGTGGGGGGGCAGCCTTCTGCTGTCCCTGCCCTTCCGGGAGCAGATGGGGGGACAGCTGCAGTCTCAGAAGTTTTCCCCAGCGTGGGAGGTGGGACAGCCATCTAGCTGCGAAGGGAACCAGAACTGGCCTTCAAGCATCCTTTGCCCAGCAAGACATTATTTTTACTCAGTTTAGGGGTAAAATGAGGGGGAGACTAGTGAACATTCTGGAGGACTAAAGCTCTCCCTAGCCACCCCAACACTGCCGCTGGGACACATTAAGTTGACCAGCATGCTTTTGCTTAAATCTCCCAGTGGCTCCTCAGTACTGTTGGGTTAAGTTCAAATCGCTGCCGGGGGGACAAGGCCCATGCCCCTCACCTGGTCTTTGTCTAGTGCTACTCGGCACAAGCCATGTTCCTCTCATTCCTCAAGTGAATCCAGCTCTCTCCAGCTTCTGGGCCTTGGCTTAAGTGGGTCTCTCCTGGGAGGCTCTTTTCCTGGCTCTTGGTTCTCTGGCTCCTTGTTTTTCTTCTGCTATTAGCCACTATGTCACCTCCTCAGGGAAGCCTTCCCTGACCGTCCCCATGAACACAGCCCCTCCCGTCCACCCCGTTAGCCCCCCGCTCCGCGTGCTTTTTCTTCACCGTGCGGATCACACACATAACTGCGTTCCTTTGGGGTTTACTTGCTTAGGGTCAGTTTTCCTATAGACCTTAGGCTCCATGAGGTCAGAGACTGTCTTCTTTTCACCTGTGTTCACACAGCATCTAGCTCAGCGCCGGTAGTGACTTAGTAGTTTCAGTAAATACTTATTGAACAAATAAAGAGACAGATAATTTATCAGAAAGCAACGGGGGTCATTGGTGACAGCAGAGGAAATACCGCACCTCAGGACAGAGAAGCCCACAGCGTGCCTTGTGTGACCTGGGGAGGGAGGCTGGCGTGTCCAAGGTCACCTGCTCCCGCTGTCTGAGTCTGCTAGTGGCCAGCAGGACTGAGCTAATCCTGGGGAGGGTGGAGGGTGGCTGCGCCAGAGGGATAGCCTGACCTGGCTGCCCAGGACAGACACGTTCCTTCAGGCCAAGCGTGGACTGAGAGGTGGTAACACCCGCACCGACTCTTTAGGAGAACAAGCTGCTGTTGGTCATCAGGCCCTCAAAGATGGCAGGCGACAGGGAGTGGGGACCACAGACCCTAGGGAACAGGGGGCACTTGCCAGCTGCAAACATGGGGATCCTTAGGAAGGGAGCCAGGAGAAAGCGGGGTGCTCCCCAAGAACCTTGGAGGCTGAGCATCCTCTGGGGGAGGAGAGGATTTGAGGATGTGGCTAGGAAATGGGGGAGAAGAGGCAGCGAGAGCCAGGCTTGAGAAAGAGGGCTTTCAAAGAAATGGGGGTAGCCTCCAGCCTCTAGGATTAATAACCCATTAATTCTCTGCACAGCTCCCCAGCCCTCATGTCGGTGGCCTTTTGTGTTGGCCCATTTCTCTCCTACCCACGAGGCACCTTGACAAGGAGCTGGTTCCCTTTCACGGGAATAATCGGCACCGGGCTGCATTTCACAGCAGCATCTGTTTGGGTGATGAATGCCCTCTTGACATGTCTTGTTAAACCCCTGCAATCATTCTGACTTTCAATTACGGGCCTCGCACCTTTCCTCTCTCCTCCCGCCTCATACCTTCTCCCACTCCAACTCGTTTGCTCACCTCTGCTTCCATCTCTTTAACACCTTATCAAATCCTCTAGGTTTTCTCCACCACCACCTCGCCTTCATCTTATGATTTTTCAGCAATGAGAAAATTTGCTGCCAGAGTGCATAGCTCTAGGAGGGGAGAGCTGATGGGGAGGACAGGCCTGGGGAGCTGCCTCCAACGTGAGCTTTGCCTGGGCAGGAGGAGAGGGAGAGGCAGGATGGAGAGCTACGAGAGTGTGCATGCGTGTGCGTGTGTGTGTGTGTGTTGCTCAAATGGGAACTCTGAGCAGAGAGCTGGGGAGGAGGCACTCGTATGTCACAGAGATGGATTGACACAGGCTCAGGGATTTGATGCTCATGCATTAGCTGGACCTTGTAGGACTTTTGATCTTGTCTCTAGGTCCCTGCTCACCTCTTCTTCTGGGGGCCAGAGCTTGTCCCTAGGCCACCAAGAAGGAGGTGAAATCGAGCCTTCCGTTTGCTAGCAAGGCAGGAGGGCCTGGGCCGGGAAAAGTGGGGGGAGGGCAGACTGATTACATCCATCAACTTTTATGGCGTCCATTCTGTCATTCAGCAAAATTTACTGGGTGACCACTGCATGCCGAGCATTGTGTCAAGAATGAATGGTACGCAGCCCAGTCCTTGTAGACACAGAGAGATTATCATAGCAAGGTACGCGCCTGAGTGAGAGGTACATGCAAGGGCAGCAGGCGCACAGCAGGGAGTGTCAGTCTCTGCTGGCAGCACAGAGGGAGGCAGGAATGGCTTTGCAGATAGCAAGTGTGCTGAGTGTTGAAGGATAATAAGACGTTCTGCAGGTAGAGAAGGGGGAGAGGGCACTGTAGGCAGAGAGAACAGCAGGTGCAAAGGCCCAGAGGCAGATGAGGGATGAGCACAAAGCAGGGAAAGAGGAACAGAGCTGGGAGCCTGGAGCCCTATTTTGAGTGAAGTTTATCTTGTTTCTTGTCATAGCTATTTGTTTCTTTGTCTGCTTTCCTGTCTAGAATATCAGTGCCTTGTGTGTGTGTGAAAGGGTGGGGTAGGGTGGTCTTAGCCTCATCCGAGTCAGCATCCCCAGCTCTTTGCACCGGTCTGGCAGTTAGCAGTAGCGCAAATGGTTACTGGGTTGAATTGAATGCTTAAGATAAATGTGGGGAGGGGACATGGAGAGAGGCAACCTGCAGGGGAAATTGATGCTGAGACTCAAGCAGGGCTCAGAGGAACATGGGCCAATTCCAGCTGCTGGACAGTGGATAATGGTCAGGAGTTCCAGCCCCCCTCTCCAGCAGCAAACACCCCTTCGGCCTGAGCCATGCGGGGGGTGTGCAATGTTACCGTGTGTGGGGCAGAGGATGACTGGTCCCACTCTCCTGAGGCCTCTGGGGTCGTACCAGAGGGGCAGGGCAGCCCAGGTCCCTGTGGTCCGGGGCTGAGGGACACAGGGCAGCGGCTGCACTCACCAGCACTGGCAGCTGCGTCCACAAAGGTGCCATCGCCCCGGTTATGGAAGAGGAAGTTGGGCCCGTTCTCGTTGTCACAGAAGATATCCGAGGCGCTGCTGCTGAGGATGGGGCCCACGCTGACACCCCGGCCCCCTGGGAGAGGACATTGACCCACAGTAAGCGGCAGGACGCAGCTGCTTCTCAGGCCTGCAAGACGCTGCACTAGTAGTGCCCCAGAAGAGCCTGGTGGGGGGCTCTGACCTTCCAGAGGCTTCCCTGAGCCCAGGTCTGGGCTCGAAGTCCCACAGACCGAAGCGGAGGAGAACACACTCATGTGGAGGCCAGCGAGGAGCAAGACCACGTCACATTGTGCCGCAGGGATGATTCCGCGAACGAAGGCGCAGTGCTGGCTGAGTCACAGTAACCCCCACACCAGCTCTGACCACGGCATTTTGGTCCAGGCACAGATTTCCCGGGCCACCCGCCCACACCCTGTCACACCTGTGCTGGTGAACTCCTGTTCTAAGACCTTATAGGACTAAGTTCCAGCTGCAGATACAGGGTGCCTATTACCTGGCCCCGTTTGACATAGTGAGCGCCTGGGAGTGACCCGCAGGCGTCCACAGCACCCGGCTGTTGGAGTCCGGTGCAGCGTCTGAACGGAGGGCGCAGGGCCACCGTACTGATTTGGAGGAGGGCCCATGACGTACTTTTAAGGAACAAGCAATTTGGCCCTGGCCGGGTGGCTCAGTTGGTTGGAGTGTTCTGTACACCAAAAGGCTGCAGGTTCGATCCCCGGTTGGGATGCGTACAAGAGGCAACAAACTGCTGTGTCTCTCTCCCTCTCTCCCTCCCTCCCTCCCCCTCTCTCTAAAAATCAATGGGAACGTGTTTTCAGGTGAGGATTTAAAAAAAAGAAAAACCAATTTGCCAAGTAATTGTATTGTGTGATGTTACTTTTCTTTAAAAAAAAAGGGGGGGGGATACATGATGTTTTTGAAACATGTTTGTGCAAACTTGTGAGTTTGGGGGAAAGTGGGGAAGGCTACGCCCTGTGCCCCACTGGCTGCTGGTGGGGGGAGGTGGGGGGAGGGAAGAAAGGATGGTAGCTGGCTGTTTTGTGAATGTCTTCATATTGTTTATCTTGTTCCAACAAGAATTGTTTCTTTTGTTTAAAAAGAAAACATCCAGCCCTGGCCAGTTTTGCTCAGCGGTTAGAGCGTCGGCCTGCGGTCCAGAGAGACCCGGGTTCAGTTCCCACTAAGGGCACGACCATGTACCTCGGTTGCAGTTTGTCCCCGGCCCTGGTTGGTCGTGCAGGTGGCAGCCACTTGGTGTGTCCCTTTCACATCGATGTTTCTCTCTCTCTCTCCCCCCCTCCCACTCTATCTGAGCAAAAATATGGAAAAATGTCCTTGAGTGAGGATAAAAGAAAAAAAAGAAAAAAAGAATAAATAAAAAAACATCCAGATGTGTATTTTTTAAAAAGGGAAAGAAATCAAGCCAACCTACATGAGGATCTGAAGTCTCCAAGATCAAATTTGGGCTACCCACGTCAACAAGTCCAATCTAAAAACATTTTGAACAGACCACCCCAAATGATGGGGTTCAAATAAAGCCCTGAAAACCACCCCCCCAAGCATTGGAAACACAATGCAGAAAACAGCCCGACCAGGGCCAGGACGTGGATTCTAGCCCCAGCACGGCTCTTTACAAGATGGTGTGACCTTGGGCAGTTTGCGTTACCCTCTAGCCTCAGTTCCCTCATCTGCAAAATGGGAACGGTGTGACCTGCTTTTGTTATTTCTGGGTTTTTGAGAAGATCAAGTGAGGTGAGCTACGGGAAAGGTCTTTGTGAATCCTACCACTTTGCTACTCAGAGTCAGGTTCACGGACCTGCCTCAGGGGCACCACCTGGGAGCTTGTTAGAATGCAGAATCCCAGGCCCCTACCCAATCAGGCCTTGCATTCTAACAGGTTTCTGTATACAGTGCGGTCTGAAAAGTGCTTCAATAAAGGGCTGTTCGGTACTGTAAGAATAGTTATCAGAGCACTCAGAAGAACTTGATTCTTTATTAAATAAATGAGAGCTCAGGCAGACCGGAGTGATGTTGGGCCAGGCGCCCCCTGCCTGCTGCCGTTGGGTGCAGCAGAGGTTCCCACAAAAGGTCTGTGCCATTTGGGAGGGAGGTTCTCTTGGTCCCCAGGCTCCTTCTGTCCTTTGAGATGCCCCTGAAGAAAATCATTAGACCTGTCTACCTGTGCAAATACACGGAACCTGACCACCAGGGCCAATGTGTGGGGACAGAGGGACAGGATGGGGCAAGTGGCACTGCCACTGTCATGGTGGGGCTCCACGTTAACACATTCTGGGCCTGGTGCCTCCCGATTCCTCCCAGGTAATCTGATTCGTTCTCAGAGAGAGCCCACGCCTAATGAAAATGAAGCACGAAGTCCACAACGCTGCTAGGGAGCATCATCCAAGATGCAACCAGTGCTTTTCATTAGGAGAGCCACTGTGCGGGCGGGAAGCTTTCCGACGCCTTTCCTACAGTCCGCTGGGAGGGGTGCTGGGCCACAACCTGGGCACCACTGCGGCCCATTCGGAGCGGAGCTGCCGAGTGGCTGTTGGCAGCTGTCCCTGCCCGGGTCCTGCCAGACTCCAGCCCAGTAGCAGGCTTCCGTGAGAAACCTCTGGAATTCCAGGTGAGGCTCTGGGACTCTGTGGCCATGCAACTCCATCCTTCCTCCCCCCACTCCAGCATCCTTCAATTTCCTCTCTGCCTCTGGCTCCCAAGCTGTGACACATTCCCTTCATTTTCTACAAAGCAGGTTATTTCCCTCTTGGACAAATTTCTAAATCTTTCTAATTAACTAATTGGGTTGGGTTGAAGCCTTCCACCATTTGTAACCTGTAATTACTAGAAAATTGCCATGGTAACCACACTACTAATTAGTGACAATTTATTGCCATGGCGATCAGACCATAACAGAGATGTTACCCACAACTCCTTCTTGGCAAGTTCGCTGTACAGTTGGGAGCAGGTGAGTTGACAGCTGGGAGGCTGGCCTCTTGGGCACTGGCCCCAGCAGCCTCCGGTGAGGGGCCAACCTGGGGTCTGAGGCAGGGCAGCCAGGTGTCTGCACCCCTCACTGGTGCTGCAGGGGAAACTCTTCTCCCAGGTCGATCCTGTAAGTCTTTAAACCAATAAAATCCATCCACCTGTGTAGCCTGACACCCCAGCTCCCTGCCTGGTCAATGACAGGCCCCTTACTCAGTAAGTATCTTTGTCTGGACCTTCCCCCTCCTCCTCTAGCCTGTCCCCTCCTCTGTCACACCCTCCATCCTCCCCTTCCTACAGTTTAGCACACCCCTTAGGGGCTACCCAGGGGGCAGCTGGGAACATTTTTATTTGGCCCTGGAGAATGATGTCCCAACAGGGAGTTAAACTCCACTTGCCATCAATGAATTCTTATATACTCGAGGCTGGCACGTGCTTGTGGGGACAACCAGTTCCCCAGTAGGGGCTGGAGAGGCAGCACTGGTGGTGGGAAAGACGGAGGGTCAGAAAGTTCAGGCTCTGCGACCTTGGGCACAACACTGGACCTTTCTGAGCATCCTGTTTTCTCACAAGAGAAAGACTGATAATAATAATAGCTTTTTCAGGGCTGTCATAAAACAGCTTGTTTTGGGAAGGTACCTTGGAAAATGTCAGGTGCCACACAGTCCTTAGCTGGGACTATGTCCCACCTGCTGGGTGAGTAATATCCATTCAAAGACCTCCTGGTTCTGCTGTTGGGTGTGAAGGCTGCTCCCCGCCCATCCCATCCTGAAGGCTCCTTCGCCCACCAGGCTGGGTGGGAGAGGTGAGGTTACAGGGGCAAATGTGCCCCATGCCTCCCTCTCTCTCCTGCCACATTCCTGCACCTCCTTTGATGCCTCATTTACTCTCAAGAACCACACCCTTCAACCTCTGAACCCTGTATGTGGGTGATGCAGACTCAAGTCCAGTTGGAGTGCAGGTCATCCATCTCTCAGACCACATCTGGGCCAGCGCACAGGAGTACAGGGTGCAGGGCGGTGGGGGGAGGAAGGGAAAGAGAGGCTGTAGGGAAGAGGGTATGTGCTGCTGAACCACCCCAAACTGCGCCTGAGGACCCAGGGGCCAAGAGGCAGGAGGATTCTCTGCTGAGGAAAAGCCTCTAGGTTCTGGCCCCACCTCTGCACCCTCTCTGGCCACAGGACCTGGGAGCTCTCTCCAGGCCTTGGTCCTGCTCTCTGTGAAGTGGGTGGGGCGAGGAGATCTCCAGAGCGCTTCCACCTCTGCTCCTCAGTGCACCCTCGGGGCTGGGCTGCGGCCCAGCGTGGTGGGCATGGAATCCTGGGCACGTCTGGACTTGGCACCGTGGAGGCGGAGGCGAGGCATAGGCCAGGGAACTTGGACCTGCGAGAGCAGTCTGCTGGGACCTTGACAGAAATATGATGCTGGTGGGCGCCAAGGCCTGCGGGCCGCCAGGCACATCCAAGTATTGTAACATAGCAGCAAAGACGCTGGAAAATGTAGGGGTGGGGCAATGGGCAGTGTACGTGTGCGCGCGTGTGTGGAGGGGTGTGAGGGGAAGGGCAAGATGGTGACAGGGTCTCTCACCCTAAATTTCCTGGCAGTTCTACCACATAATAACACTGCTGGTGCTAATGTTGCCTGGCCCCCACCCAGCCCTCTGTGAGCACCAGACGCCGGGCAGGGGGCAGGGGGCAGGGTGCACAGGTGAATGGGGTATTAGACAAGGACATTCCCGCGGTTCCCCAGTCCTCCCTCCCACCCCTGCAGGCTGCTGAGGGGCAGGTGGGCAGGAGGACAGGCTCCAGCATTTGTCTGCTGGGTGGGGCTTCCCACACCTGGCACCAGGTGGTTTCTGGAGGGAAGTCTGTCTTCACCGTGCCCCCCCCCCCCAGGCCGTGAGGGGCGGAAGGAGCTGCTGCAGGAAAGAGGAGCTGTTGCAGGCAAAGGAGTGGCAGGAATGGCCCCCGACAGCCTGTTCCGTCCCGTGTTCCAGGTGTTGCACACGTTTCATCTCTCCTCACCACTTCCTAGGAAATGAGGCTCAGGGAGGAAACCGAGGTCAGGGAGGCGGATGCCAGCCCGCAGGCAACAGGTCACAGTTCGGCCCCCATGCTCTCCCCACAGTGCTCTCGGACTCTTCTCCGAAGGTCCCTCCGGGCAGAGAAGCCTCTACTTCTGGAGGGGCCGGAGTAGCCAGCCACGGGCCTGAGGTGTCTTTAACATCTCTTATTTTAGCTGAAGAATTTGGGTACCAAGATTGCATTTGCACTGGATAACATATCTGTGTTTGTTGTGAAAGAAAAGTGATGTCCCTTTTCGTCAGTCATTTAATGCATCTGGCAGCCTGTGTATCTCAGGGCCCTGGGTGCCCTGGCAGGGCCCTGGGCCCTGGCTGAGGAGCCTGTCACTCCAGCCCTGCCTGTTCCCTGCTGTCAGATCTGGCTCCACTCCCGCGCAAGGCCAGCGCCCGCCTAGGGGAGGCTCCGTGGTCCCCACTCTGCCGCCCCTGGTCACCTCTCCGGAGCTGGCTGGTGGGGATCCGCCAGAAGGCCTCAGCTGGGCTTTAGGCATCTCTGTCTCCTCCAATAATGACTTCCTATAAATCAGATCTGCCCTCGCTTTGTTCTGCTCTGCTCCCAGCCAACAGCGAAACTCCCCACCCAACACCATAAATCCACCTTCATTTTCTTTCCAAAATTCTTTTAAGGTTTCTTTAATCACCACCTTGCAGCCCAGACAGATGCTCCCCTAAAGGGTGAGGACAGAATACAGAGTTCTTGGGCAGGGGTTGCCTTCATGGGAGGCAGGGTCAGAGAGAAGGGAAAGATGGATTCCAGCGGAGCCAGGAACGAGGAGGCCACGTCTGCGCCCAGGGCTAAGGACAGGCTGGGAATGTGGGGGATGCTCCAGGGCAGGGGCTGGGCCTGCTTGCTTTGTGCTCCCCCTGTGCCCAGCATGGTGCTCCCTACACCCAAGGGATGCCCAGCAGAGGGCCCTGGCATCCCTGTTGGAACTTCAGGGAGGAGGGTGTTGCTGGGCGCTGCCTGTGTGTGAGTCCTGTGCCAGGCATGTCCCATGTCTACCTCCTTTCATTCTCACAACACCCCCATTTTGCAGGTGAGGAAACTGAGGCCCACAGAGATTAATAATCCTGCGTCCACTGCTGCCTGGACAGGACATGGCGGAGGCAGGATCGGCACCTGCACTCTGGCTCCAGATACCGCCCTCCTGCAAGCTGTTAGCGGGCTAGTTCAAGGTGCCCCCAGGGACCGAGGGACTTGCCCAAGGTCACTTGGGGCCCGGAGGCAGTGCTGACCTCTTGGGCCCCACCTTCCCTTTCCTTGGGTTCCATGCCAGGCCCTGTGCCATGGGAGCACTGATTCTCAGGATCCCCATGGAGAGTGGTTCCCTGCACTGTCCAGGCTTAAGAGGCTGTGAGCAGCTGAGGAAGTCGGGGCTTGGGATTCTCATTGAACCAGAAACCATGGGGAGTGGCCTTCCCTCAGCTCAACGCAGCACCAGAGACTCTTCCAACGTTGCCCCCCCAGGGGCCCTCCAGCCCCCCAGTCCCCCGAGATCCGGCACGCTGGCCGCTAGATGGCACTGTGACCCAGCAGAGCGGCGGCCGCCAGCGGAATCGACTGTCTGGAGAGGAGGCCTCCCCTCCCCCTCCGAGAAACCCGACAGCCAGTGCCGGCAGCACCATCACCCGGGCCTGCCGACGGGGTTGCCGGGCCTCCCCTTACTGCCCTGGGCACCCTAGGCCAGGCAGCTGCTTCAGCCACAAAAATCGGGGACCATGCTGAAAGTCTGAGTGCCAGTCCCTGGGGCTGTGTACCAGGCTGCTCTAACGTGTCCTTCACCAGCCCTTCCCGTCTCTGGAGGTCATCAGAAAGGTCAGCTGGTTGTGGCAATTTAGGCATCTAGGCATCTAGAAACTGCTAGTTTCTCTACATCCCCCTGTGTGACCTTGGGCAAGTCTCTTCTGTCTCTGGACCTTCATTTGTTCTTTTGTAAAATGGGAAGTTCTTTGAGGTCTGTCCAGCAGATGGATATTGTATGGCTTGGTTCCCGGGACCTGCTGCTCCCTGACTGCACATCTGGCCGTGGCTTGCTGCCCTCCCTGTCTGCTCGGGCCCTGCACCTCGCTGCTGCTGCCTCACCCCTTCCCAGGCCCCCGGGCGCTGGCCACGTGCCAGAGCCTCAGCAATCAGGTTGGGCTCCAGTGGTGGTCCTTACATTTGGGGTCCATTCCTGGGGCTCAGGGGGGTGCTCGGGGCTAGTTTTCCAGCCAGATGTCCACGAGTTGTTAATGGAATGACAACAGGAGTTGCAGGGTAGAGTTGGGGGGCTTGGCAGGCATGAAAAGGGTGGGCTGGGGAAGGCGGGCAGATAGTAACCTGGTGGGCCAAATAGGTTCTCGTCAGCCAAATGGCTTTTGGAAGTCTGCAAAGCTGCTCTAACGTGTCCTCTGGGCACGCCAGCTGCCCCGGCCTGCCTGTGTGCTCCACAGAAGCTGCCGTCCCTTCCTTGAGCTGCCCTGTCCTTCCAGCACCGCCCTGCGCCGTTGGCTGGTGCTCCCACCCCATCCGTGCTCCTCAGCTGTCTGCTCCTGGTCCCTTCCTAGCCCCTCCCGGGTTCCTGCCAGCCGTCTGCCAGCCCGCCTGTGTGAACAATGTCCCCTTCATGCTCAAACCCAGCTACAACCTTCTGAATCCTTTTATTCTGTGTATAACCCTCTTTCCCAGACTTGCGTTCCTTCCATCTCATCATTTTCAATTGCTACATCTCCCCAGCCCACCCTCCTTCTCCTGCAGATCAAGGCACTTAATTGCCAAGCCAGCCCAGTGCACAGAACTGGGACCTATTCAGAAAAACAGATTGTACAAATCTAGGCTGAAGCTCCTGCATGTTTATTCCTTTTCCCAGGAAAACATAGTTTATTACTGACACTCAGCCTTCCTGCTGCACATCCACGCGTGGCGCTCCGGAGGGCTCTATGGGCTTGGGCTGTGCAGACTGTTTTATTGTCTAGTCATATGTTCTCACAAACTTTGTCAGACAGGCCAACATCAATCTCCGCCTTTCACCGAGGTGGAAAGTTGGCTAGAGAAAGGCGTCGTAAACTCAGGGGAGGCTGTGACAACCCTTTCTGGGTAGGACTTTGAGATTATGCCACCACTCAGGTGTCTGGAGGAAGGGGGACAGCCCACATGACCCCTCAAGGACCCTCCGAGCCCCAGGATTTGGATTCAGGCAGGATGCTACCTTGGCCGTCTGCGGTGCAGACTGGGATGGCTGTATTGGGAAGGTCAACCAGGGAGAGAATTTCTCTGTCCCGAGGGCGGAGGCAGTGTGAGTGAGGCTGAAGTTCATGTGCGAAGTCGTTGTGCACAGCTCTGGCTTCCTGATTTCTGGCACCCAAAACCGAATTGCTCTGCCATCAGCAGCCTATTGGCAGATTATCAGAGTTTAGTCAGCAGCCGTGCTGGAATTAGAAAAACAGCCTTCCCTGGAAAGATCTCCCTGTCAGAGACTCTGACAATAGGTCCCCCATCCAGAAAGATGTGGGGGGAGTTTGCCTTCCAAAAAAGTGCTGGAGAGGTTTTGGAACAAGAACACGATTCTTTGAGCTCAGTTATCCGAGACAGGACCCGGCTGAAGCTTAGGGATTTAGCTAGCACTGAATTCCTGGCTGCTTATGTGTAAGGAAATAATTTCATCTGCTGCTTGGCAATAAAGGATGCTTTAAATCTCAGCCTTTGTGACTCGTCAGTTTTCTCCTACAGAACCTGTTTGGGTCACAGCAGGGAATGGGACAGGAGGTTCCAGGGACGGGATGCTGTTATGGTATTCACACCCAATGTCTGATGTACCCCAAGGGACCCCATAGAGCCCACACCGGCCAGCTATCTCATCAACCGTTGGAGAGGCAACATTGGAGAATCCCCTGTGGGTGGTGAGATGAAATAAAGTCTTCATCCTCCTTCTCCAGGGACACCAACCCATCCTCTCCTGTGGTGTCGGATGAACTAGAGTCAGCCTTGCAAGGCCTGGCCCCCAGCCCCCGCCCCCAGCTTGCAGCATCCCATGTCACTTTGCATACCTGTATACTTGCTGACCCCAGCCTCAGCAGCCACATCTCTGAGTGCCAGAATGCCCCGAGACAGGTCACTGGCCTCGGGGTCCATTTCAATGAGGGCATCAGGGCCCACGTTACCATAGGCATAATTGGCAATGTAGATAGAGTAGCGTCCAGAGCCCTGAGGAGGAAGGGAAGGAGGTGAGCAGGCCCATCTGGGCTCATCGAGGTCTTTCCCCAGAAAGGATCCCTCCCCCCTCTCGCAGGGCCGTAGCTCTTGCACGGGCTGGTTTTCCCCGGGGTCTGGTGTGCGTGCCTGGCAGGCTGTGCACTGCACAACTCCAGAGCTGTGCGTCAGAGGCTGCAAAGTGCACGGTGCCCCCTGGAGTCCCACAAAAAAGCCACCCTCCTTCTCTTTCTATCCTGTCCCAGAAGAACACACCCCTCCCTCTCCCTCGCCGCCACCTTTTTATAGACAATTTTCTAATGTGCCTCCCTCCAGCTGAGCTCTCTCCAGCTGCCAGCCAGGGTAGCTGCTCAATAAATATTTGCTGATTGATTGATCTACCAGTCCCCATTATTCTCAGTCTCTCTCTCCCATTCAAGCTCACTCCAGCCAAGATGACAGACAAACTCCTGAGACATCTCCCCGCCACTTCCCACACTAGACTCCTCCACTCCTCTGTCTTGGGAGCAGGAGAGGCTCAGAGATGCAGGGGTCCTCCTTCCCTCTCCCATTCCTTTGTTTTCCCCACTTTATATAGAAAGAAATAGTATACTGCTTCTGCCTTTATACCACTGTCTCAGAAATGTTTCCCTTTGCACCCTCCTTGGCGCTGTAGTCATTCTGTTCTGTAGTCCGCAACACCGCTGATGAAGGGGCTTTGCTGCCGTCATGATGATGGAGTTTGTTCAAGGGTTGCCTCCTTTCTCCCAAGAGACCCACACAATTTCTAAGGCAGGTTCCTAGCTTTCCTCCCACCCTTTTCAACATGTCCCTCCAATTAATCAGATCGTAGAGATTTCCTGAGCCCTAACTACGTGCAAGGCGCTCTGCTGTAAGTGTACGTAAGACAAAGTCTTCGTTCTTAGGCTGCTTGTGGTCGAGTTTAAAGGCAAACCTCCGCCAGGACAGTGCGAGAGGAACCACTTCGTTCAAGATAGCAAGAGTGGGCACTGTCCCCCTCTTTGCAACCCCCTGCTTGCTTCTGTTTCTTACCTAATGGCCCCTCGGCAGAACCCAGTTCCAACTAATTGGTCACTGACTTCATTTCTTCTTTGGGACCATTTTCTTTGGGAAATTAAGAGCCACTTTATGGATGAGGCCAGTGAAGGACCTTAGGGTGTCCTGGGAGATGCTGACATGCCAATGATCAGACAATTATCTATATATATGTGACTGAGAGAGTGTGTCCAATTTTCTGGGTGCACAGAGGGGGCTCCTAACCTAGAGGAAGAGCACCGAAGCATTGGAAATTCAGGAAAGGTTTTCTAAGAGGAGTCTCAGCCAGGTGAAGTGGAGGGGAAAGAACCTTCCAGGCAGAGATGAGACAGAGAATGATGTATGTAGGGAAACCACAGGCAGTTCGTTCAGTGTCGCTGGAATGTAAAACGCAAGGCAGGGCACGGCAGGGGACAGAGCTGGAGGAGGTGGCCACGCAGTTCCCGGAGGACTTGTACGCCGTTTCTTTTTTGGTTATCTGAGTCTCTATCCTGCTACCTGGGAATCGATGCTTTATAAATCTGTTTGTAAAGGGGTCCCTGGAGATCATGGGAGATCAAAGTCCCTGTTGGTCCAGGAACTTTGAGAACCTTGGTGTAGGGCCCCACCCCAGACCTGCCGAATCAGAACCTGCATTTTCATAAGACCCTCAGGTGATCCCTCTGCAAAATGGAAGTTTGCGATGCGTGGCTTTACAACTCGGCTTCAGGATTAGGGGACACGGTGCAAGGTCCTTGCCCATCACAGGAGCTCGGCACACGTGTGTGGAACGACCAGCTGGAGCGGATGACGGGCCAAAGGGGAAAGGGCACCATAGCTGTACCTGCCTGACCCTACCAGCTGTTAGCAATTTCTTCAACAAATGGGCAATTAAAGCCTAAATAAACTGAAATGCTCTCCGCTAGAAAATTTGGATATTTATAAAATTCAATTCGACCTAGTCCTTACTTCAATGTTTTGGGGAGATTAAACTGACAGACATAGGTGTGTGGCAATTGTAGCAGATGACAGAAACTCACATGTGAACTTGACCACAAGCATTCTGGGAGGGTGAGATGGAGGTCATTCCAGGACAAGGAAGACACTTCTGCAGCTTTGGGTCTAGAAGAGAGGGTCCCACCACTTAGCCTACCACGTGGAGGCCTTGTTACAATGTGGATGTGGGGTTCCAATCCCAAAGTTTCTGATTCAGGAGGTCTGGAGTGGGCCCTGGGAATCTGCATTTTTAACAGGTTCCCAGGTGGAGCTGATGCTGTTGGTCCAGGAACTTTGAGAACCTTGGTGTAGGGCTATTCGCCTGGGTTCTCTGCCCCTAACTGGCTCCTTGGTGTAGGGCTATTCGTCCGGTCTCTGCTCCTAACTGGCTCCTTGTCCGTGGGCAGATTCCTTAGCCCACCAGCTGCATTGCCTCACAGGTTAGGTGGGGATCATATTCTCCCTGCTTCCTGGCAGGGTTGTTGAGAAGATAAAATGAGACAATGCATGTGAAAGGTCTTTGAAAGATAAAAATGCTATATAAACATGAGGCATAATGATTATCGATCAGGAGACGCTTCTTATAAGAGATTGGCTTTGAGTTGGATCCAGAAAGGTGGGTGAGTGATGAGGCAGCTGAAGATGAAGGGCAGGCAGAGTTCCAGGTTTGGGGCAGGGAACAGATGAGGGCTGGAAGGGGAGCGGGAGAGAATGGCAGGTGCTGGGATGGAGACGTGTACCTGGTGCGATGGTCCTCAAACTCATCAGAATCACCTGCGGGGCTGGTTGACACTCGATTGCTGGGTCCCACCCCAGGGATTCTGATTCAGTAGGTCTGGAGGGTGGAATGGGGTGGGGCCTGAGAATTTGCATTTCTAACAATGGTGATTCAGCTAGTTGGAGACCACACTTTGAAAACCACTGACTAGGTAGACTAAATGGTTGTGGGGCTGAGAAAGGAGCAGGGAGAATGTTAATAGAATTTGTGGTTCAAAATTTGTATTCAATACCAGTTCACCCAGAGGCAGGGGGTGGCAAAGGAGCAAAGGGTATCTAATTCATTTTCAGGAAGGCAGGACTCAGTTCTCGGCTTTGTCTGCCAAGAATGTGATCAAGGTCAAGTTGCTTAATTGGTCCAGGGGTTAGTTTCCATATCTGTAAAATGGGAATCATGAGAGCATCTACTTCATAGGCTTAATATAAGGATTCAATAAAATGATTCTTATAAACCACTTAGCACAGGGCTGGGCATGCTGTTAGTTTAACAAGTGATAGCTGTTATTGTTGTGATTGCTCTTGCATTTTCCTATACTACGCTGCATTTCTGCCTCTCAAGTTCCAGACTGGCTTTGAGCTCTTCCTATCCTCCCTTTCACAGTTCTCAAGCCCCAGGGACTGCCAAGGTGGTGGCGAACTCAGAAAGCAACCCTCTGCTGGTGGCAGCTGGGCTGAGGCCTGGGCTGAGCAGGGGCTGAGCAAGCTGCTAGGTGCCTGCCTACTGTGCTGTGTGCCAATGCCTTTTTTTCTTTTTCTTTTTCTTTTTCTTTTTCGCATTTCACATGGTGCCTTTGTCCTGTGGTTAAATGTGTGGGTGTGCAGATGACCTTGTTAGGACAGAGAGTACATCTCTTTGTGATTAACCTTCAGGCCCTCCCAGCAGCTCTGAGAAAGTTCCCACCTTAGCAGAGTGTGGGAAACCTTATTCCTGAAAGACTGAGACAGGAAGCCAGTAGGAGATTGGGTAGAGGCCCCCAGCAGCAGCCTGCCTGGCACCCCTCAGACCCTCCCCACTCTCTGGGGCCACTCAGCGGCCTTCCCCTTCCCTCCCACCAGGCAGGAGTCCAGGTGGCACAGATTCAGGTCAGGGCTAAATGTGGCTTCACAGCCCAGCTTGGCTTCTCTTCTCAGCACCAGCTTGTTAAGAAATAAATATTTATACCTGGCACCTGCCTTCTCCCCCATCCTGGAGGCCCCTGCTGCGAAGGTTCACGCTGAATCTCCAACCCCTCTGTGCCATCTCAATCCTGAAATGAGCCAGCCCCCTAGCCCCTGCCCCCAGAACGGGGGCCAGAGATGCTTCCATGGAAGCTGGGCAGCAGCTGGGTCCCTGATTTAGTGATGACTGTTCTGTAAAGTCAAGGAGGGGGCGGCAGGGGAGCAGGTGACAGGAGGGATAAATCACCTCCACAGCCAGCCTCCAGCCCCGGCTGGAGCTGCTGGGATGCTAGCCCAGTGGGGGTGGCCCTACAGGGCAGATGGCTGCAGCTGCTCCTTCACCTCCGCATTTGGCCTCTCTCCCCCACCCTTCTTGTACTGTGGACTAGCAGGGCAGGGAAGCATTGATGGAGCCATTGATTAGCTCAAGTGCTTGTACACTGGCTGCCTCCCACTCACCCACCCGTGAGCCCCTCTATCATGCCTTCATTTGCCGATATATATCTACGGGGGCCCTATGGCTCAATACCTGGCACATAGTAGGCACTTAACAGATGTTAGTTGAATGAATGAACAAGCACAAGGTTTAGAGCCAGAAGATTTGGACTCAGGTCCTAGCCACACCACCAATCCATTCAGGGTCCTCAGTGACTCTGGATGAAAGCACCAGGCCAATTTCCACACTGGTTGCTGAGTGGGCCTCTTGGGAGGAAGGATGTAAAAGTATATTGTAACTCATCTCGCAAGTCTTGCTGTTACTACTGAGCACCTACGATGTGCAAGACACTGGGAGCTGCGGAGATGGTGCAGCTTTTGGCTCTGTTCTTAAGAGCCACACTCTGTCTGGGGATATCTGCCTTTGGGCTCCCCTCTGGCTCTCACATTGCTGTGTGCCCCCTTGCCCCAGGCCCTCCATGCACCCTTCAACTCACCGTCCTGTCCACACAGGCCACAGAGCGCCCGGCAAAGAGGCTGGCCACGCCGCGGGCCACGTTGACCTCATCGCTAAGGACATCTTCCCACCTGCTATTGCGGAACTTGAACAACTTGTCCGTGTACGTGGCCACCCCTGGAGAGAGGAGGAAAGGGAGGCTGGTGGTTGGCGGACCAGGGTGCACATATGTCTTGGAGGACCTGCCACGGGGGGTTGGGGCCACAGGTGGATGGGCCATCTGCTCAAGGCGAGCACTCCTTGCAGGACTCCAGCAGGCGAGACTCCTGTGTTTGGCGGCACTCGGGTATGGTCAGTTGGGAGCAGAGACTGAGGCTTATGAAGATGGCCAGCCCACCTCAGGAACTATGGAAGAAACATCACTGCTACCACGTGTCTGAGACGACCCTCAGCAGCTGGATTGCACTGTCTGCATCATCAGGGTGATCCGGGCTGGCCAATATTTCAGCACCCAAACTCACCCCGAAATGTCTTTCTCCAGGAGCTGTCCCCGACATTCTCTGCTGGACCGCAGGACCTGATTTGGGTCTCAGAAGAAACTGAATGGGTGTCTAAGTCCTGATCAAGGAAGGGGCTGGAAGCTGGGCTCTGACAGGCCTGTCACCTCCACCCTCAGGGACCCAGGTGGCAATAGGTCAGCACCCAGGCAGCGCTGGGAGGTCCCTGCTTCCACAACTGGGGAGCCTTGGAGGTCAGTGGTCTCCACCTCTTTGGGATACTGACCCCTTCGAGAATGGGGTGGAGGCTAAGGCCCCTCTGCACCATGCAATGTGCCGTATGTAACTGCAAGGTCTGTGGCCTCCTGAAGCTCACTCATGGCCAAGAAGCTTCGTTCTGGGGACGTGGCAAGAAATTTCCAATGGCAGGAGCTCAGTTCCTGCTGAGACCACGAAAGTGGAGTTTTCCCCTCTGGCCTCACCCTTAGTTTATTTCCTGCAAATGTGAGACCCAGAGCATTTATATTTTAGGAGGGATCATATTCTACCCTCAAGGCCGTACACAGGAAACACAGGAGAGGGTCAGCTGAAGGAATCAGAGAAGGTGAGCTTGGGTAGGAGTGGACTTGGTGACAGAGCCCCTGGACCCGACTCTGGCTGGCCCGGGGGAGGCAATGGGCTTAGCCTAGAGGGAGCAGCATGGCGCAGTGGTCAAGACCTGGGGGTTCAGAATAAATGAGCCCGAGACTCAGTCTCAGTTCCACCCAGATTCTACTTCTAGGTTTTATTGTTGACTTTGGGCAAGTTGCTTAGCATCTCTGAGCCTCAGTTTTCTTATTTGTAAATGGGGATGACAATAACTGCCTTCAAGTTTAGCATGGTACCTCAACAAGTATGTATTAGACAAATAATTATTCCCTCTTCATAGATGAGATGCTCTTACGGTCCTTTCGGGATGTAAGGTCTGCACTGCAGGGGTCTGGTGGGTCGGCGTGGGAATGAATGAAGAATGAGAAGGAGCCCTGGCCAGTTTGGCTCAGCGGTTAGAGCGTCGGCCTGCGGTCTGGAGAGACCTGGGTTTGGTTCCCGCTAAGGGCACATACTTTGGTTGCAGTTTGTCCCCGGCCCTGGTTGGTCGTGCGCGTGGCAGCCACTTGATGTGTCCCTTCACGTCGATGTTTCTCTCTCTCTCTCTCTCCCTCCCACTCTATCTGTACAAAAAATGGAAAAAAAAAAAAAAAAGAATGAGAAGGAGTATATGAGAGTGAGTGTGAGTGTATGTGAGTGAGTGTGTGACAATGAGTGGATTGTGGAAGTGAGTGTGAGCGTGTGTGGGTGAGGGCAGTTTATAAAGGACCCCTCAGTGGCTCTGCCCAGGAGAGGACAAGAAGTTTTGCTCTCTGAGTGGCCTCACATGGGGGCTTCCTAACACCACAGGGACCCAGGGCAGCTGGTGCATAGTCCGTGGGGTCTGAAGTTGGTCTCGGGGATGCTCCTCAGACCCTGGGAGGGGAAGGCCCGTCATGAGCAGAGCAGGAAGCGGGTCCAGGGACCAGCAGGTGTTTGTTCAGGTACAGACTTGGGCTGGGAAGCTGCAGCGGGGTCTGCACAGAGCTGCTGGGGCTCAGGGATGCCCACTGGGGCACCTGAGGGGCTGAGTCTGGACAGAGGCACAGGTGCAACTCCGACTGCGGGAGCTCAGGGGCCTGGGCCAGCTCTCTCTTTTCTTCCAGCGGGTTTCCTCTGTGAGACTCGGGGTGCCAGCTGTGCCCCCTCCCTCACATCGTTGCTGTAGGAATTACAGGAGAAATTATACCGGACTCTGGCCCCAGGTCAGGCACCCCAAACTGCTCAGCGGCAGCTCCGCACCCCTGGGTCCACAGCCCCTCATCGTCATCCCTGGGGCACAGAGGCATTTAGAAATTTAGATTTTTTCTTCATCGTTTAGAAATGTAACAGTGCACACATCGTTTATTAATAACACCCCCAGCAGGGACTGGGGCAGCACCCCATAATTAAACACATTAATATTTCTTCAGTGAAATATATGAATATTCACACAAAGTGGAAAAAATTAAGCCATAAATAGCTCACATCAGCTCAGGACAGGTTTTGCTATCAGTTCATTTTCCCGCAAACTTACAAAAAGCACTTGAGGATTTCAGAGCCGCTTGGCTTTCAGGACTGTGGGGAGTTACTGTGGACCCCGAGGGCCGCCCGCAGCTGTGCCCGAGGCAGGGGCGCAGCCTTGTTCTCGCTCCCCGATGCCTGGGGGTCCTCCGCATGGCCCTGCAGGCTGCCCGGTCTCCCGTCTCCACCAACAGTGAGTGACCCTTGCCCTTTGCTGTCAAACCAGAGCCCCTTTACACTGTCTGTCCAGCTAGTCTAGTCCCCCCTGAGGTATCGAGGTTCAGGGCCAGGCGAGAGCGCGGCCGCGGCTGGGGTTCTGCATGGCTCCGCGGGCACCTCTGCGCTCAGTGGAGGAAATGCTCGAGCTGCCGAGTTCCTGCCGCAGCTGGATGAGAGGGGAGACTGGGCCCGGGTGACTCTGCCCCCCGCTTGCCTCATCGCCTCCAATTCCACTCAGGACAACACTGCCCAAAGTGTGCTTTGTGGAACCCTGTTCTCTGTGAGCTGCCTGGAGAAAAGACTTCGTGATTATCAGAGTTCGGGGAAGACTACACCTTCTGTCCTCCTCTTGGAGATTCACAGTGGACATCGGTCTGTTAAAACTGAAAAGTCCTGCAATCAACTCCCTGCTTAATTTTATTTAATGCAGCCTTTCCCAAATGAGCTTGGTCACGGAACCCCTTTCCGCAGCTCACCTGCCAGCATCCTGCGGAGCCAGAGCTGTTCTAAGCAAATTGCTGTCCGAGGGAGTTGCCGTCCGGCTAGGCCCTGGGCTTTGCGGCCAGAGGAGCGAGGGTGGCCAGTGCCGCTGGCCGAGTCCTCCGTTCCAGCCTCCTGGCTTCCGGGCTGACCGAGGACGCCCAGAAGAATAAACTAATTAAGGTAAAATGTGCAGCAGCGGTGCGGAGCCTTGTAGATCATAAATGGGAACGGCAAAATCAATGGAAGCCCTTCTGCAGGCAGAGGCCCGAGGCCTGGGCGACGGCAGGATGGGAGCCATGATTTAGGAAGAGCAAACGCTCTGGCAGCTGCAACCTGGGTAATTAGGTGTGTCAGGAAGACAGATAAACAGCGAGCTGTGTGGGTCGATGGCGCCGCAATAAACACCCAGCTCTGGCCCCCGGCCCATGTCAGCACCTACTCCCGCCCCTGGCTCCTTGTAGCTGCACTCCACCCTGGGGTCCCCCGCTGGGTCGGGGGTGGGGCAGCTGCATGGGGAGAGGAGAGGCTGCAGAAGAGAGGGGCTCTCCTGAGTCCTTGGGGGAGACCCTGAGAGGGCGGGGCCTGGGTGTTCAAGGGCAGGGCAAGGGCTCTGGAGGTCACAACCCCTGTGAGAGGCACCTCTGGGGACTTCCATTGCCACCCTGACTTGGCCTCTTGGCGTTAGAGGCGCAGCGAAGGTCTCAGAGTCCAGTGGAGCTGTCAGTGGCTGCAGGCAGCCATGGGGAAGGCCCAGCGGGTGCCCACCAGGCCCCTCTGGGTGCTGGGTGCTGTGGGAGGCCCCAGGGAAGTGGGAGTCTCCCTCCCTGACTCAGGGCGCTTACAGTCCATTTGACAGCACAAGGGATAGACAGGGAGAGGAGCTGCCATGGGACGGGGGTGAAAGTAATACCCTAACATTTCCACAGCACTTTCTGTGCGCCATGCACTTCACATATTAACCCGCTCTCGTTACCCCTTATCACAGCCCGCAACATGGGTCCTCGTTTCATGCCCACGTTACCGATGAAGGACCCGAGGCACGCGGGGGCTTGCCTAAAACCCCACAGCTAGCAGAACCCCTCAGAGCAGGAGAGGACAGCACATCCAGAATTGCTGTGGAATCAGGATGGAACAGGCTAGTGATCAGGGAGGGCGTCACGCTGGAGGAGGCACCTGAACGGGGACTTGAAGGGTCAGAGCAACAACAACAATGACTGGTTTACAGAGCACTTAGTATGGCCAGGCTCGTACAACCATCATCTTGACTAAACCCTGCGGCCACTCTGAGAGATAGTGTGACCTCATTTTACAGGTGGAGAAACTGAGAAGAAAGAGGTTAAGTTAATTGCCCAAGGTCACAGAGCTAGTAAATGGTGGAGACAGATTCATACCCAGGTCTTTCTGACTCCAAAGCCTGTGCTTCTGAGCCTTGCACTCTATAGCTTGGCCAGGCAGAGAGCAGGAGGTGCACTGGGCAGCAGGTGGCACAGACAAAGGCATGGAGGGCACCGAGTTTGCCTAGAGAGGACGGTTTGTGCGGGGGGAGGAGGAAACACGGCAGGGCAGCAGAGACCCACTACTTCCAGGACTGAGGGCAGAGGGGCACTGGTGGTTCTGATCTGGGGGAGACGGAGTTTCCAGAAGATTGCCCTGGCAGACAAGGGAGAAGACGAGGTGGGTGCCCACTTTGAAGTGGCTCACGTGTGGCCCAGGGTGATGAGGGTGGCAGTGGGAGGAAGTGCTGAGAGCAGGAGGGCGGAGGGACTGGGGGGGGGGGTGCTGGGTCAGAAGAGGGAGTGGTCCGCAGTGTGGGGCAGGGACAGAGCGGGAACTGAGCGAACTGGGTGG